GGCAGAAGTTTTCTTTGTCACTCTGTGCTGTAAATAAAAACAGGAAGTGAAAACAGGATGGGGATGTGAGAGAAAAGACACAACTGGTTAGAGAGGAGCTTTCGTTTCTATATCTGTTTCACATCAATGTGGCTATTTAGTGCAACATTATTACAAATAAGGAGCAGAAGCCAATCCAACAGTAGAATTGATGCTTGTCTTTTGAGAAACCTTTTTTTTTTGTTTTTTCCACCCATTTTGTGGAAAAACCAACATTATTATGAGTAAACTGCACTTTTTCCCCATCTTTGAGAAATCAGTCTTCTGCGACTAAGATTTGGATTAAAAAGGCATCTGAAGCTGGCTCAGGTTTGTGCACTATTTCCTCTGTTTTTACAATAATATGCTTGCCGAAGACATATGAAGTGCTTTTAATTCAAATGGTATTCCAGCTACAGTTTTTTTGTGTTATGTCTACAGCAGCTTTACACATTCAAGCTGCAGTTTTTACCTTTTTTCTTTGTAAAATAGCTCGAGCTCAGTGCGACAGGAGTGGACAGAGTGTCTGTGAACAGTAGTTTTGTTTAGTCCTGTCACGTATTCATAATTGGTTTTAGTTCTAACTTTGTTTGGGTCATTCTAACACACAACAAGCTATAATCTAAACCATTCCACTATAGCACTTACTATATATTTAGGGTTGTTTTCCAAAATTCACTGTATAATTAGCATGAAGGAAATCATGAAAAACTGTTATATGGTTGTATATTCAGCTATTTGGTTTTAGTCAGTACCAATGTTTGCTACGGAATAACTTACTATGATATAACTGTAAATAAATTCCTGTAATGATCATAGTATATAGCCCTGATACAAGTCAATATATAAAAAAATTATATTAAGTCAATGATTCATTTCTTTGAGTGTATTTGACTGATGTTGTGATAGTTTCTTTAAGAACAATTCTGAGCGTTTCTTTTTTTATTCATTAACTACAGTGTTAGTTTACTGTCGGTGAGACAATGGCGTCCTCTAGTGTTACTAGATCTTGCTAAAATGAAACCATGCAAGTGTCAGTCAGATCTGTGTGCACATATAAATATCTAGTCTGTGAAAGGTGGGTAGTAACTACTTAGTTACATTTACTTGAGTAATGTTTCGGAAGAAATGTACTAAAGGGTTGTATTATCTGATCCACACCAACTTTAGTTTGTTTAAAGGTAAAATATTCATCCCATATAATCGTACACGTCAGGAGAGACACGTTGGATTGCATCCCAAAGCAAATAACCTTGACTAAATGCATCATCACAGTATTGTTTTACATTTACTTGAGTAATATTATCATGAAGTATCACTGCTCTTACTTGAGTGATATTCTGCTGTTTGGTTTTGAGAGTTCTGGTATATAATCTTGTTATTTTTTTCAGTACTGTTAAAATTGATATTAAATATTCACATGTTCAGCAATGTTAGAGAAACACAGACTTCCATAGAGTGAGATGTGCACACATGATTGCATACAAACTGCACCTTCCAGTATTTTCTGAAACAAGAATAACAATAATGATTAGGACCACAAATTACTTTCCTTCCACTTCACAATCATGGACGCCTTTGTTTTGATCTACAGGAGAACCAATGGGATACACCAATTGTAACATGGCAATATTTGAAAAAGTTTAAGTTGGAAGTATTTTTTTTTTGTTTGTTTGTTTCAAAAGGCTTTAAGTAAAAGCAGGATACGTTAAGCGTTTCTTCTACATTAAAAACTTGAATCAAGGTGAAGTAAGCAGGAAATGTTGCAGGGACACTGTCACAGTGGTATTAATCCACATTATCTTCCATTTATCCAGACAGGCGATGGGGCCATCGACTGCATTCCTCTGGGCAGCGGCCGTGTTGGTGATGCTGCAGATGTGTACTTCAACCCATGACGGCATCGTAGACCGATCGTCTAGAAACCTCTCCTCTGTCCCGACAGACCTGCCTCTTGCTGCAGAATATATTGACCTGTCATGCAACCACATACATCAGCTCCACAAAGGGGAATTTAAAAACACAACCCTCCTTCGGTTCCTGAACATGTCGTGGAATGGCTTGGAGCTCATTGACACAGAGACGTTTCATGACACGCCGCTTCTAGAAAATCTGGATCTGTCGCACAACTTGCTGAGGAACCTGTCAGACCAACGTTACTTGTCATTTACAGGGAATCTCAGAGTGCTGAACATGGCATGGAACAAGTTTGAGAACATGACCTTGGGAAGAGAGTTCAGTCTCTTAAGAAAACTGGAGAGTTTAACACTTGGAGCGAAAGTCATCAGCTTGGGGGATTTCAAGAACATCGCTAACGTGACGTTATACTGCTTGACCCTTTCTCTGGAGGAGGAACTTGATTATGAAGCAAACAGCTTAATGGATAGTCATGCTGAAAAAATTCAAGTAGATCTAAATGGTGGAAAAATAACCCAGAGTGAATTGCTTGCTGATGCATTGTCATTTTTTGTAGAAGTCGAAGTGAGGAATATAAGTGGGGGCTACCAATATGTAAAAACACAGCTTAGTAAAAGAGCCATAATTTCCACTCGCACTCTTTCCGTGAACAACATTGTAATTGACTGGGACGATTTAACTCAATTAATAAATGCCACTCTGTACACATCCATTGCCCAACTGAGCGCCTCTGATGTGGCAATAAACAAGCCCCCAATTAAAGACACCCCTCTGGCAGAGACATCCTCAATGCAGTCCTTCACAGCCTCACGAGCTGCTGTAACCTCCTTTTTTTTCTCTCAGGAAGCCTTGTACAACTTTTTCATCAACCTGCCAGTAGAGCACTGTGCAATCGTAGAGACTTCACTGATTCACATGACGTGTCCGAAAAAACAGAGCCCCATCCTTGAATTGGACTTCTCTTTCTGCGCGCTGTCTGATTCCATCTTCTCCAGATTCGAAGGTCAAAAAACAGTTGAATGCGAGACCCTGGGCAACGTACAAAATCTCTCTCTGGTAGGCAATAATCTGAAGAATCTACAAGTAGTGAGTCAAAGACTGCAGTACATGAAATCTCTGCGACACCTGGACCTCAGTATCAACTCCTTTGTGTATGACGGTTCCCCTTATTGTAAGTGGCCACCGAGCATCACTGTTATGAATCTTTCTTCTGGAGGTCTAACAGATAATGTTTTTAATTGTCTACCAAAAGGGGTAGAAACACTGGACCTACAGAACAACCAGATTTCTGTAATACCACAGTTAGTCCACAAACTGCTAAATCTCTCTTCTCTGAATCTGAATGCTAACAGGCTCCGAGACCTGCCGGTATGTGATGACTTCCCAAAAATGACTGAGCTTCTGCTGAAGTCAAACTCCCTCCATGCACCTTCACTGAGAAATCTGAAAAGATGTCCTAATCTGAAAATCCTGGATGCAAGTGACAACCCGTTCACCTGCACCTGCCCTCTGAGGCACTTCATCCGTCTTGGCATTCAGACCGAATATAAGAGTGGCCACTCAGGTCTTGAACTGTTAAAATGGCCAGAGGGTTACCACTGCATCTACCCCGAAGCAGCCAGGAATTCCACGTTAGAAATCTTCCAGATTCCTGAGATCTCTTGCAGCGCCAGCCTTCTGGCAGCCACCATCCTGGTTCCTTCAGTAGTACTGATTGTCAGCATTTTCTTTCTGTGCCGACGTCTGGATGTGCCTTGGTACATGGGCATGATCTGGCAGTGGACCAGAGCCAAACATCGAGCGAGAATGAGGCAGCTTCGACCCGAAGACCTGGTGGGCATCGAGTTCCATGCTTTTGTGTCCTACAGCCAGCACGACGCAGACTGGGTGAAGAATTTCCTGCTTTTGAACCTCGAGGGTCCTGCAGGAGGGCTCAGAATCTGCCACCATGAAAAAGACTTTGTGCCGGGGAAAACAATTATGGAGAACATAATCACATGTGTGGAGAAAAGTCGCCGCTCAGTGTTTCTGCTCTCCGCTCACTTTATCAAGAGTGAATGGTGCCATTATGAGCTTTACTTCGCCAGCCATCAACGTCTTTCTCAGGGGTCGGACAGCCTCGTGCTGGTGCTGCTTGAGCCTCTGCCCCAGTATCTGATCCCGTCCAAGTACTACCAGCTTAAGTCTATGATGAAACGACACACGTACCTGGAATGGCCTCAGGACAAAGCCAAACACAGGCTGTTCTGGGCTAATCTGAGGGCTGCTCTGCAGGCTGACCTGCCGAGTAGACTGGTGGCAGAAACAGAAGAGTAACTCCGTAATCACCAAGATGAGCTTAGCTGATTGTTACAGTAAGATACAAAAGACCACAATAAATGTATGGCAAATATATCCACCTTGGTCAGATTTTACATATAGAAAAAAAAGTTGGAAAACAGAGGGACTAAATAAACAAATTAATAGACGATTGGACAGACTGATCCAAGGAACTTGTGAATAATGCGACAGGGAAAAAGGGTGGAGCTATAGATGTTTCCCCAAACTACATTTTCTTATTCAATACTAGCCAGTCCTACAAAATATATTGATCAGACTCTGTACTTTTCTGGAGTGCATATGAGCACTAAAGGAAGTGTGAGCTGGACAGTGTAATAAAAAGATTAGTTAGACTACAACAGTGCTTTCCAAGGTGAGCATCAGGACCAAACCTGAAATCATGAATCAAAACAGCTGTGGGGTGTTCAGGTCATAATGGAAAAGCATATTTATCCTGGAAATGTCAGATGAGATAAAAAATTTTAAAAAGTCCTTATAAATTGGGTTTTGTTGCTCTGTGTTGCCTTCGCACCCCCGTTTAATTGATGTAATAGAAATGCTTGCTGGCTGTGATTGTGAAAAGTCTTTTCCTGTTATTTTGTGACAGTAGAAATTTTGGGAATGACTATGCTTTAGCTTTGGTAAAAATGTGCAGTTTTTACTTTCTGCTTCTTTTTTTTTTTTCCACGTTGAAGAATTACATTTTTATATAGATATGCTTGCATGACATGAAATAATGTATTATCTGCATTTTAACCAGTCAGACATTTAATGGCAACATCAATATAAACATACAGTCTGATCAAAACAGTATAGCAAAACAATAAAGAGTATCAAAAAGCATTTGAGTCTTTACTCGACATCAACACCTACACAAAATGTGTGAAGGTTGTGGACGTTACAGTTCTCTGAAAATGACAAAAAGCACAACGGACACCCAAATTTATCCCAAACTGATAAATTGAGAAGAGAACAGTTCCACTGTTTGAGTTCTAATATAAGTCCAACTGCACTAAATCTGTGCAAATAAAAAAGCCAGGTGTTAAGGAAGAGACTGGATGATGATTATTTTCTCATTAATGCAGAAACGGTGAAGCACACTGAGTAGATTTTCTCCACAACGTGACACCTGCCTCTCCATGGCCAGGCGGAAATCCTCCTTCACTCCCTTGGTGATCCCTCGAGTCACAGTGTGGTGTCTGCAGGACGAAAATTATTTAAAAAAAAATAAACATACAAACGGTCAAAAATATACTGACGGACAAAACTGACATTAATATGAGAAACACAACAAAAACACAGTCATGGTAACATCATGTTGCTTCATTCCTTCCACACACAAATAAGACAATTTACTTTAAACCACTTATGTTGAGTATTGTAAATAAAAACGCTATAAAAACATGTCCACAAATGGGATGAGATTGCTATGAACTGTAAAAAAAAAAAAACTAAACTGACTGTGCAAAAACACTGACATCATCCTCTGATAACAACAACACTGATGACCACAGAAAAGAGGGGAAATGAATTAAATTAACAAACAGCAACAGGAAATCAAAGAACAACCAACTCTTGATGCAAAATGTCCCAAATTAAAACTGGGGAGGGGATGACAAGCCTTAAAGCTGGGAATGGAGGAAGGGTGACTGGTGTGGGCGGGATGGGGACTGTGGGAGGAGGGGCCTGGGGTACCTGTCCATTGTCTGCACCCCTTGGAGCAGAAGGGTATTTAACTCCACCCCCAGGGCGGGGCTAGGGTTCCTGAGGGACAGCAACATTCAACAACTCTGTCAGTGAGAGTTAACTTAAGAATCTACAACTGCTACAGCAATGAACCAGAGAGAGTCTAAATGGTTTTATGGTTTAGCACATACAGTCACTTACAAAAATATTAACAGCAGCTGAACATTTTCATATTTCGTTAGGTTACTATTTGAAACATCAGTGTATGTTTCTGATAGACTTGAATAATTGTGAAATGTAGGGAAATGATGATAGAAGTGTGGTGTGCAGATGTATTCAGCCTTCCTGAATCAATCTTTTGGAGCAAATCTTGTGAGGTAGCTTGGAACAGCTTTGCAGATCTAGAGAGTCCGCCAGAGTCTCAAGTCTTTTGCAGACTCTAACAAGGTCTTTTAGGACTTCTTGTACTGAGCTCAATGCATCTTCAAATTAACTTTGACCAGCTGTCCTTTCACTGCTAAAGAAAAACACCATGATCGCATTTCACTGGGGAAATGGTGTGTGCAGGGTGAGGTGCACGGTTAGTTTTCTTCCACATATAGCATTTTGCAAGTAAACCAAAAACTTCCTTTAACTCCACTTGTACTTATCAGACTTCTAATAGAGCTTTGTGAAGTTTGTGGTTCTAATGAGAAAAAATGTGAAAAGGTTAAACGTGTATGAATATTTTTGCAAGGGACTGTTCTCCTATCTATAAGGCGGCTCTATTAACAGTTCATTTAGTCCAAAGCAACAATTTTCCCCACAGGCCAAGTCTGTGTAGCTAATCTGCTTTCATTAAAACCATCAACAGAAAGGGGAAGTGCAGAGTCACCATGCAAAGTGGAAAACTTCCATATGGTTGCCCCTTACTTAATCAGCATTCCCTGATTAGGAAGCAGCTCCAGCTGAATTCTCCCTCCCTCTGGAGTCCGCAAGTACGCAAACTCCTCCAGCATGTCAATGTCTGAGTGTAATAATGAGTTTAAGTAAACCAACATACCGGACATGACAGAAAAGCCGATGAACAAACAGGCCACGCAAATGTGTCCTTATCAACTTTGACCGTATTGTGTTTGCAGCGACAGATAAGGATACTGGTGACATAGTTGAAGAAGTTCTCATATTGGAAACTCCCTTGCTGACAGATTTTATCAACAGCCTTTAAGAACAGCATCTCTCCCTGTGGCCAGTCATGCTGCAGCAGCACCACCACATGGCCGAGAGACAGGTCGTCACGGCTGTCTGTGAAGGCTCTGAGCTGGTCAATCAAAGAAAAAAGAAGAAAAAGGATCAAAGCGTCACATTTGAAAGAAATCAGTGGTTGTCATTTCAAAGATTCCACTAATCCAAGTACCTTAAAGCAAGCAAGCATGAGCTGGAGACAGAAAGGTAACACAGCTCTGCTGGTGCAGGGAAGCAACCGTAGGTCATTACCTAGTTTAGGCAGATATAGAAGAATTGTTTGGATGAATAATTAACTAAGTAAACATTTTCATCATACATTTACTTTCTACATTAAAACCATAATTTTCACTTACTTATGAGATACAATATTCTACTCCTAAATGTTGTGTTTTCATAAGCTGAAACAAAGGCTTTAAAACATGACTGTGTGCAATTAATCTGTACAATGTGTTGTACTAACTCAGTGAATTGAGTTACTGAAATAAATTTACTTTTCTGTAATCTAATGCATTGAATGGTTGTAATAGTACAGAGTTTGAACAGACATTTCAGGACATAAATCCATCTTCAACAAGGAAGTAATCTATGTCACTTACAAGGCATAAACTGTTCATAACACTGAAAGTATATCAAGGTTAAACATCAGGTTAAAACTTCTTCTAATACGATCCCCAATTATTTCAGTGAACACTGTAGAAGAGCTGAAAAGATGAATGTTTTTTTTTCCATTCTTACATAAAATAATATTGACAATTGTGAAAACCACTGATATTCATAGTGTGGAAACAAAGAAAAACTTTTCACTTGCTAAAGTAAGAAGGTTTTTTTTTTTTTTTTTAATAGACTTAGTAAGCTACAGGATGGGTAGGAAGTCGTTTTAAACACATCATGATATGTTTTTGTTAAAAATATTGATGGTAATACTGAAAACCTGTTATTTTCAGTCAGGAATATTCCGGCAATAACATGATGGCCTAAACTCTATCTAATAGAAATTCAAATTGAAACCCACTAATAATCAGAATATGTGGATAAAACTATAATGCTTACCTTTCCTGGTCTTGGATTTGATTCTGCTCACATCTTCTGGTGCTTTGGTCAGTTCTTGGTTTGGGGGAACCAGCCCACTCACAACATCTAGGAGCTTTTCACAGGCCATCTGATCAACAAAATACAACACAGTGTATATAAAGATGCAAAGGCTCATTAAAATAAACAGGAGAAAATATTTTTCTTTCCATCCATCCATCCAATAACACGGTCATCCTTGTGGGGTTGTGAGGGAGGCTGGTGCCTACATCCAGCAGTCAACAGGCGAGAGGCAGTGTAAACCTTGGACAGGTCACCAAAATAGTAGAAGGTTATTGCCACCACATCATTTTCTACTATTGTAAAAGCCCTCTTCCAAGTAAACATGTTTAGCACATAAGTAATATGCTAAGCCACTTAGGCTACATCCATACAGCAGGGAAATGCGACCTATAGCCGACTTTTTCATGCTCTTTCTAATGCTAAAATTGGTTCCCTTTTGTGACTGAAGTTCAAATAGGTCACAAAATTTGGCCAAATCAAAAACTACTTGAAATATAGTGTTCTATTAATCTCTAAAAAAATTTTGAAAGTTCCAAAATGTTTGTTGAAACAGAGATTTTATGCAAAAAAGATACCAAGTGCACCAACAGGAACATTTTTACCAAATGGATGACAATTTCCATTATAATTCCAGAGGGTTACACTTGTAATGTAATTGTGCATTATGTTTCTCAACCAAAATTTGGTAAACATGGCCTTACAGAAGTAGTTTTAACCAATACTGCCACCTTCAGGTGAAGTGCTGTTAGTTTTCTTTCTAGGACAAAGTTCATGGCACTTTGCTGATAAATTATTGTGACATTAAACTGGTTATATATTAGGTCAATATCCCTAAAAAACACAAAGTTACACAATCAACTGAATACAAACTGAAAAAGTCCTTTCATCCAGAGCTTAGTGCTAAAAGACGGTAAGATTGAAGACTGAATGCATTTTGTGTCAAATGTTTTGAACTAACCCATGCATGCTTACCAACATGCACCGACCGAAACACTAGTAGAGTGAGATGGTGTGCATATGTTTACCCTGTACTCTCCCAGTGCATAGTGGCAGGATGCCTGCTGTATCAGGGCCCTGTGGTGCTCCAGGCTGGCCTGGCCTGTGGGGCTCTGCTGTGCAGGCTGAGGCTGCTGCACTGACGCCATCTGATGCAGGCTGGAGACGGCCTTGCGATAATGGCCCTGGGAGCAACAACCATATGCAAACACAATTAGTACAGACAAATAAATCTTGTAAGGCAGGCATGGAAAAAATAAACAGATATATAATGAAGCAAATGTTTATCTACTTAGTGTAATCAGCCCTCATAATTTATTGCATTTGCTCTAGTCACTACACAATATTAACATTTAAATAAATGTCTTAGTTGCTAGTTAAATTCCCCTTAATTTCAATATGTCAAAGGATTTCTGCAACAATTGGCAAGTTAAATTCAGGACAATCTAAGATATTTTTAAACAGTTATGACTTGCATTAAGACCTACAGGAATTTTGAAAAATAATAACTTAATCACCAAATAACTATTTATTTATTTAACTTATTACTGATTAGCCCTAATAAACTTAAATTGCAATGTCCTTGGCATGTGCCACAAGTGTCTACAGCAGTTAGTAAACTGTTCTTTTCCAGGGTTCATTGCTTCCCTACATCGTGGGACTTGTAGTTTTGTCACAGCAAAACAACAAATTCTTCAGTAAGAACTACAAATTATACAACAATTCAATGCTACCAGAACATATTTCAACCACCCCCAAAGAATAAACATATCATATATAGGATATAATGATAAACAAGCACACACGATTAAAACTTAAATACATTTAATTTAAAACTATTTAATATATTTGAAGGCCTAAAACATGGATTGAACTATTAAATTAATTACTTTTAGGAGCTTGCAGAAATCCTGATATTAAGTAAATATCTGCATTTAAAATATGCTGTGGGTAAGTTCAGAGCAGCTGACAAAGTAAGCGAACAAGGCTTTGAACAAGATCCTTGCCTGGTGTATAATCATGTCAGAGAGGAAGATTCTGAACCAGAGCCAGCTTTCCATCTTCCATGCTGCACAGATCTTCTTGAACTCTAAAAGACATTCAGAAACAAAGTCCATTTAAATAAATAGTGATTCAATTGTCTGATCTTAAGAGCAATCTAGGTGAAGAGAATATGGAACCCAAAAACACCACAGGAATCCATTAGTGGTGCTTACCAGCTTCCAGACCATCGTGAGAATGGAGCAGGTCCCAACTTTCCCTCGCTGTACGGAAACTCTCCAGTGTTTCTGACCAGTTGGGCATCTCTGTCTTGTTGACCAGAATGTGTCGGCCGCGGCCTTTCCCCAAACCTTCTTCATCATCGGAGCTCTACAATAATATGTCCAGAAAAAAAAAAAAAAAATGGAAATCACACTACGAGTGCGTTTATGTGCTCCTTTTAGTGCCAAGACAGTATTTTAAAGAAATATACCAATCTTTCTTTGCTTTCTAAAAAGATCTCAAATCTGTTCTGACCATTGTTTTCTCTCTCCCGTCAGCCAGTTTGCGTTTCTTATGTGCATGCTTCAACGTTGCTCTGTCCACCTCCACATCACTGTACACCGAACTCAAGTCCTCCACCAGGATCCATGGTCCTGAAGTCATTGCACCAACCCCTTCAAAAAAAGAAATGCGCATATAAACTTATAAGATGATAAAAAAAACAGAGCAAACTTTAAGTGCTTTGAGCACAGAGACTGACCCTGGAACAGTGACGGCTGTACAGCTGAGACATAGAGAAAGGCACTGCGAAAAAGGACGAGTGCAGCACAAATGACCACCTGACTGCAGTAGCGCGACCTTGTTTCTCCTTCAAGACCAGGCAGATAGCGACACAGCTCTTTCACTCTTTGCAGCATGTCGATGTAACTCCTAGCACACACAGATACACACATATTTTATCAGTAACATAAAAACTTTCATCCCAAAATTTGTTTCCTGTGCAAACACGCCGCAAGAGTCTCTAAAAGAGTAAAAAAAAATGATAAATCAGACATTTACTGGATATTTTTCATGATTCTGTCTGAGTGAGTCAAAGGGGGGCTACCTCTGTCCTTTGTCTCCCTGCCACTCGCAGCGAGCACCAACGACAGTGACGATATCAAGCAGCCTCTCCCAAGGTTCTGCTACTACTGACGATTTCTCAGACAGGCCATCAATCACAAACCGCTGGGAGCCACGAGACACTCCAGGAGACTTTAGAGTTGCACCATCTTGGCTACCTAAAGAATACAAGGCAAATAAAAATGTAAGAACATAGAAACTATGATAGATCTGCAAAATTTTGGCAGGAAGGTGTACCTTGTAACTGCACATCAGATGAAGGTCCACGGGTAACATAACCGATGTAGAATTCAGCTGCTTTCAGGATATATTTCTGCATTAGGCTTGCAGGCAGACGCATGTCCATGTTGTTTATGACCAAGGGAAGGACATCACATACTACAAAAATAGAAAATTGTGTTAAAAAAAATTATGTTTCTCCCTCAAATGGCTTGGATTATATGCATTTTAATCATAACCATTACTGACCAAAAAGTTTTCTGAAACAGTTGACAGGAGTCTCCACATTTTCTGATGCCTCTGCTTCCAGCAAAGTCTCGCCTAAATTGACCTAACAACACAAAGCACACCACTAAACAGGTTACACTGGATTCACATCTCAAAACATTAAGAGTTGCTGGAAAGGTGTTATTACACACCCCGTGCTGGACGACAGTCTCTGGAAAGCGCTTCAGAAGGAGCAGCAGCATCTCTGCCTTCTCCAAGGTGTTGAAGCACTGCTCTGTGGCTTTCAGCAGCATCTCACACTGCACACGGCCAGGCAGCGTCTCAAAAAGAGCTGGGCAAGGGAAAAAGACAAACACATATGGTTGTCAGTGATACATCTTAATAAGAATCTGTGAAATAACTTTTAAACAATGCTGTACACAATGAGCTTAAATAATTTTGCAAAAAAGAATAGAGAAAATCCTCAACTTTCCATAAACTGGTAGGTACTTCCCCTCAAAATACAACAAAAGCTACAAATGCCACAAAAGGCAGCTCTATAAAGTACTGCTAGAATGTTTAACAGGTTCTTAGGACACTTTTCAGTATTTCAGTGTGAAATATATAAAAAAGGGAAAATTTAAAAGCATCTATTATTTTCGTTCCACTCTTCAATTATCTACTATTTTATGTTAGTGTCACAAAAGTCCCCATGAAAGCAGTTTATTGTGGTGGTGCGACAAGCTGTGATAAAAGTTCAATAAGTATTCCTATTTTGCAAGATATTGTTCTCTCACCTCTTAGAAATTGTGCATGTTTGTCCTGAGAGTCACTGCGGAGGGCAGCTGTGATGACACTGATCTCACGCCACACAATCGGCTGATCTGGAAAGTTTATGAACCTATTGGGGGAACACATGGTTGGCAACTTTTAGCACAAGCTGGACATAAGATGGTAACTGAATCCCGTGCTGTAACTCACATGTCATACAGTAGTCTCCCAGCCGAAGCTGTCCTCTCTGCATTGCGTTCAATGATGTACATTTCATACTGTAAAAACAGCAAGCGAAACGAGCTTCTAAGCAATCATGACAGAGGTACGTTCTGCTACAAATGGATGCTTAATGTTACCTGTATGTTGAAATCTGTTGGGTATAGGGTTCTGGCTGTTATTAGCCAGGCCTTGGCCGCGCAGGGATCATCGGAAACCAACTCCCGGGCTCTTTTAACCAAAAACTCACAGTCTTTTTGCGCCGACATTTCATTAATCTATTATTTTTCATTAAATTAGACTAATAAACAAAGAAACCACACCAGCAGTCGAGACTGAGGCGTAAGACAAGGATTCTCCACATGCGCAAATACATTAAGGGCTGTATTAAAGACTAATAACGACAGATAGCCGCTCTCTACAAAATATAAATAAACTGCTAGCAAAAAAAAAAACGTTATTTAGCTAGCTATAGCTACCCGAATTTAAGTTGATATCTATGCAATAACCGGCCATACAGAAATTCTAAATTATAAATACGTCTTGCATGAATATAGAAAGCAAATACTACACTTAGAAAATAATAAAGCATTAAAAACCACCGTGAGTTAGCCAAACAAAGCTAGGCTAGCTTTGATTTAGCCTAGCTAAATAGAAGAAGGCTAACATCTTCTTCTATTTGTTTAAAGATAGTTGGAATTGATACAGAAGGTGCCCCACCGCCACCTTCTGTTCAATGAGCAAATCGCAGACTTTGTTGACAGTTTATAATTTGACGTCAAAACGTTCAAGTGATTATAAGAAAGCTCCAGTTAAAACATTGACACACATGAATATAAAATTATTTAAGGAGAAATATTTGGAAACAAGGGTAGAAAGTTAAGGTATTAATATATAAAAACACAAAGAGTTATTTATAGTGCAAACAACTGAATAACAAATTGATCTTTAAATTAGGAACCCCAAATCTCCAATTAAAAATACTTGCAATTGAACTAAAACTACCAATTTAAGCCATTTTCTTTTTCCTTCTGAGAGCATGGCCAAAACAGTAGTTCTACTGAAGTGTGTCTTTTTAAATTACAAACACATCAGTGCCGCCATTTATGTCTATGGGTGCCGCGGCTGGAACGTTACTATGGTTACAGTAATCTTACTTTACGGCACACTGCTGTCAAGCAGGTCAACCGAGTTAGCACAGCTAGTTAGCTAGTGTCTCCAAACAGCGCGATAAATGTATATATGTGCGTCGAACTCACGTAGATAAATTGGTAAAACCATACTACTCATTACCTATGTCAAAAAGCTTAATTAAATGAGTTTCAAAAGTATAAAATGTTATCTTAAATCTGTGTGAGCCCTAACGGTAGATTCAATTTCGTAGCAATGCGCATGCGCAGAAGCTTCCTTGGTGTCACGACAGGTAATTCTGCTGTAACTCCAGACACGACCTACACAGCGTTGGCCTGTTTACCTTGCAAAACCGACCCACCTGTCCAGGTACAGGACAGCAACCGATCAGCGCACATAGCAGGTAAGCACTCATCTATAAGCTTAACTGGAGGGAAGCGGCTACTTTACTGCTTGGCACTGAGTAGCTGTCATTGGGGTCTTCAAAACAGCCGTCAATCAGCACCTGACTGTGCCAAACCTAGCATGCTTTGCAGACAGGTATTTTTTTTCTGTGGATTGTGGCTTGTTTTCTGAGCGTTGTCCCAATATTTTCTGAGTATGTATTGACTGAAAATCAATACGAGGAGGCAAGAAAGAGCAGGCTTGAACTAGCTTATGTTGCTAAGTTCTTTAGCGTTCTGTGTGATTATTGGGATAAGCATGATAGCTGCTTATAATCTTTCTTGTTATTATTATTGGTATGCAGACACACAAAAGTTACTAATGGTTTTGAATTATTGTAACTGAAAAATGTTGTTTAGATAGGCCTGTTTTCCTTTTACACACTACGTGTGTAAAAGGAAAACAGGCGTGACTGGACATGTTTGTGAACTCCTGAGAAATAATACTTGCTGCATAGAGGGAAGAATAAAAGATCCAAGTGTGACACAATATGAGTGTGGGTTTGTCTCAGTCTATTAAACGGGTTTCCTGTGTAATTTTACCGCAGTTGGCAAAATTCATGTAGTTCTATTCTTTAATCAGCAAGCATATAGAGAAGCATCTTGCCAATTGTGGCAAAGTTGCAGATATTCAAAGCACAAAAGATGATAATTTTCAAAAGCAGCATGGCAAGAATTGCAGCATCAACAATGCACATGTAACTATTGGTCTGAAATTAAAATTGGCCTGTATTTATTCATGGAAAGTAGAAATCTTCAGGGCAAAACACCTGCGTGAAAACTACTGTGTCATGGTTAATGGTACCCTCATGTTCTGACCTGAAACTGTCTAAAGATTTTTGCCTTGATATTTTGGTGTCTTCATAATCTGTTTTTAGATAACGTGAAGACATTTTGCCTCTTGTACTTTACTACATAAAAAAGTGCTTTAATTCTCCACTTTTCTAGACATTTATTTTCAAATGTGTTTTTTTTTATTTACTGGAGCTGATTTGTTGCTTCTGGTAGGAGGAAAAGTGTGTTTAAAAATAGTTTTAAATATTAATGATTCATTTAATACTGTACATGTACGGTGCTTCTAGCTCTGTACTTGTGTCGATGCTTTTATAGTTGTCCTGGCCCTTCCTATGACTTTGGCCCTAACTTATCAGTCCGTTGTGCAATAATCCTTATCAGTCGGCTGTTGAGGCTGCTTGTCTGTACAGGCGTTAGTCTGGTTGCAACAGTTTAATTTCTGTCAGATGATGGTTGACATGAAATGATTTTATTATTACCAGATATGCAAAAAGAAACTCGTGAAATCAATCACCTCAGATGTAATGAGGCGATACTACTGTTGAAATGTCTTTAAAACAAGTTAGAGTATATTTTCGAGTTGGTACATACTGTTAAGTCCCAGTTTATGTTGTAAAAAAGTAGCTTATTAAAAGGTGCCTTGCAAATGTATTGATACTCCTTACATTTTTGTAATATAACAAACTTGTTGGTTTATATTGCAGGTGTGACTGGATATGATAGTGAGCCTGTTGGTTTGTTTTATTACACAAAGCAGGGTTTTTCCCCCAGTGTATTATAAGCCTGGCGGCCCGCCATGCTTTACTAGCCCCACCGCCAGGCTAAGGCTTACTTGTTTACGTTTCTAGAAAAAAAAAAAAATCGCTTTTTTTTTTTTTTTTTTGAAGCCGGGCTGCAAGTGTCTCTGTTGCTCTGAGCATTTCACTAGCAGAGCAGATGTATTCCTAAATAATAGGTTTATAATAGATAGGTTTATAGCTTATGCATTTAAAGCCGACAGCGCGCGGACCAATCACACAGCTGGCGCCTCTGCGCTTTGCCTCGCACGCTGCTGCTGCTTTACCTCAGCGGGATCGCGCGCGCCTCCTTTCACTCAAACTGGACAAAGGCTGGCCTTTATGGATATTTACATCAACTTACTATGAGGAATTATGATGCTTTGGAGAACTCTAGATAAGAGTTTAAAACCCGCCGCGTTAGACTAGTTGTGGGTTTAAATAGCAGATTAAAACTGGAAATGTTTTCCTGTAACATAAGGTAATACTTTTAAATTTCCTGTCAACTTAACATCTTTTAATACAAAGACACGGTAGACCGCCGGTGGACCGCCTCGATGCCCCGACCACCGGGCTTAGCAAGTTTTCTGGGGGAAACCCTGCAAAGTAATGTGCAACTGTGAAGTGGAAGGAGCAGAATACACAAATTTCAGAAATGCTTTTTTTTTCCTCTCCCTCTTTTGGCGATGAAGAAAAAAAATTACCACAGCATGATGCTGCCACCACCATGTTCAATGATTAATGTTGTTCAAAGCTTGGGAAATTGTTTTATAGCAAGACTTTGCTTCCTACAGCTTTATCCCTAATTGTTCTGCTGTGCTCCTTGGGTTTCATTATTGTTCACTAATTATTGTTCTCTAACAAACCTCTGATGTTTTCACAGAACGGTTATACTTACACTTAATTCGGTGTCTTGTGAGGGCTGCTGGTTGTCCTGAATTTTATTTAGAGGTACAACATGTGTTATCTACACTACACTTTTCAGATGTTTATTTAAAATAGAAAATATAAGAATACAAAATAAAATCAATACATCAGAGTTGTGTGCTTCTTTGTTGTGATAAATAACATAAAATCCCAGTAAAATACATATGTTTGAGGCTACATTGTGTAAAAAAAAACAATGGGTTAATTAAAATGTTTTAGTTGTTTCACATAAATGTACTTGTTGTAAACATGCTGTAATGCCTGTTTCTAACATATTGTTTCAGTGCTGTACAGAGTTGATGTGATGCCGGAGGATCAGGCAGTGCACTGAGCCTCTCATGGCTGTCAGCACCATGGACTCCGAGCCGACCCGAACACCTCAACCCGGGGCCGGCCTGACAAAAGGAGGCTCCTCCCTGTTGCCTGACGGGATTCTCGGCGCCAAGTTGGGTTCTCATGGAAAGCACTACGTCTGTGGCTCCATGGCAGCCTTTACCAACATCTTGGTGACCTTCCCCATTCAGAAAGTGCTGTTCCGCCAGCAGCTGCACGGTGTGCTGGTTACCGAGGCGGTGCAGCAGCTGCAGAGGGACGGGCTGAGGAATCTGTACAGGGGCCTGCTCCCCCCACTGCTCCAGAAGAGCACCACGGTGGCCATCATGTTCGGCCTGTACGAGGACTTCTCCAGGGTACTCCAAAACCACGGTGGCGGCAGTGGCGTGCCAGAGCTCGTCACGCGAAGCTTTGCCGCGGCGCTGGCAGGAACCACAGAAGCCATCCTCACGCCGTTTGAGCGCGTTCAGACTCTCCTGCAGGATCATCGGCACCATGCGCGCTTCAACAACACAGCACACACCTTCCGGACACTTGTGACCGAGTACGGCGTCCGAGAGTGTTACCGCGGCCTCGTGCCCATACTCCTCCGTAACGGTCCCAGCAATGTGCTGTTCTTCGGCTTGCGCGGGCCCATCAAGGAGCTGTTGCCAGAAGCTAATAACCAGGCAGGTCACTTGGTAAATGATTTTGTGTGCGGAGGGGTGTTGGGAGCAGCTCTCGGCATTATGTTTTACCCGCTAAACGTGGTCAAGGCGCGGGCTCAGTCTCAAGTCGGCGGAGCCTTCCAGCCGTGCCGGAAGGTGCTGTTAACGGTGTGGAGGGAGAGGGGGGGCAGCGTGGTCATGCTCTTCAGAGGAGCCCATCTCAACTACCACCGGTCACTGATCTCCTGGGGGATCATCAACGCCACCTACGAGCTGCTACTGAAACTCTTATGAAAGGAAATAGAAGATGTATGCAAAGGGAACGCCGACGTGAAGAGGTGGGAGGTGTGTGGAAAGAGACTTGGCGACGTAAAGTCTGTGTGGTTGATGTCTGGCTCTGTTATTCCAGGACTGAGAGAGGAGAGAAAAGAAAGGGGCCACCTAGGAGTGTAAGATAACCACCTGCCATTGTTACTTTTCAATGTTGTAATCATAATAAAATCAAGATGCACACTTCAGCCTTCACATCCTTTGTGCCAGGGTCCAAAAGAAATGTCCAGAGACTATTTGTCAAGAGGAGATTCTTAGACTTTTGCCTGTTTGTTTCTCACTTCCCGCTTATTACAAGGTCATGCTGAAAATATAAAATTATTAATGCCTATGAAATTTCTCACTTATTTTTGGAATGGGACACAAAATATGAAAATGTCAGGGTTACAACTAGAGATGCACCAGTTAGTGCAATTGGCTGGTTCTGATCAGCCATTTCTCTTGATCAACTGATTGGTCATCATCAGGGCAAAATATTGTAAGTTTTTTTTTTTTTTCATGAAGTGCATCAAAACTCTAATCTGATTTTTCAGTCTTTAACTAGCAAAATACACTATGATGTCCAATTCTGATTAAAGATAACAAATGCTTCAAGGTGTTAATGCCAATGATCTTGTAATTCCTTCCCTTTCTGTTTTTATTCAAAGCTACTTTTTTATTGTCTTCTGGGAAAACAAACTCAAACTCAATCGACATTATAAGTCAGGTCTCAATGATGAAACTGTTAAAGTTAATTGGTGTGTCTGTAGTCAATCTGTGGTTTGTTTTTTTACCTGCTTTCTGAAGTGCCACAGGCCAAAGTTCTTTGAATCTAATCCACACCCATATTTGCAATTTTTTTTTTCTTTGAAAGGAATTAAAATTATATTTAGACTTTGTGAACAACATGAAAATATACCCAACAATAATCTTGATGTGCACCTTTGCTCCTTTCAATGGTTTTGGACCCTTTCTATAATGCAAAACATTGAAATAAGTACTATTGAATGCTCATTCTCCCCAGTTGGATTCTGAAACCTCTCTTGTTTTGTCCTGCTGATATATTCTCCCCTCACGGTTACTCTCCTCCCCGTCTGTAACATCTGTTGACATAATGGGCTCAGATTTCAAGCCTGAGTAGTTTCAGCCACCACACCACAGTTCTGAGCGTGCCCGACTGCCCAAAGAGGAAAGGCACGTTGCTTGGACATTTGAGAGACTGAAGATTAATGGCGGAGGGTGAAGACAGGGGCAGAGGATAATGTTCAGTGGCACAAAAAGCTCAAGCTGCCACGTAAAATGGACCATTTGGCCTAATTTTTTCAAATGTTTTGCTTCTCCTTTCACTCCTCCCCTCAATGTTCAAGGTTACATGAGGTTTTTTTGTTTCTCCTTTCAAACAAAAGCTTTTGTATTCCAGTTTTACAGAAGAGTTCTTCCTGCTGGTTTTAAATAACTTTGCCTGTAATTGTTCTGAAAGTCAGTACGTTACTCTGAAACTGTAAAGTTGTTCACTGCAGCTAAATCAAGTCTTTGATATAAATAAAAACGGATTTGTTGCATTGGCGTTTCAGGATAAATGGGAAAATTGTTACATTTTCTTGTGGGGAAAAAAATGAACATGACGGTGCCTTCCTAAAGTATTCGTGCCTCCTCTTTATGTTAAAACCATAAACCTATTTTAGTGGGATTTAATGTGACGAACATCAAAAGGGTGAAGTAGAAAGAAAATGCATGATTTGCAGTATTTTTTTGAATAATCTAAAACATCCACTTGTATTCAGGCTTTGTGGGTCTCAATCCTTTGTTGCATCACCTTATGCTTTTAGCAGTTTGTCCCATCTGGAGGCTTTTATTCTGTTTGCAAAATAGCTAATTCAGATGGAGTGTGAACTTGAACTTTTCATGCCTTGCCATTAATTTTCATTTGGATTTAGACCTGGACTTTCCCTGAGTCATTGTAACACACAGTTATTCTATACACAGCATTCATTTATAGCTTAGGATGTGTATTGTCAGTAGTTACCCTGCTGAAAATACCCCAATCCCATTTCCTTTGAAGCAGTCTAGTATTTTGCTCAATTCGTCTTAACAATTCTGATGACTCCTTTTAGACGCAGAAGAAACAACATCTACAGAGCATAATGTTGCCACTAATAGCAACATTGAAACTGTTAGTGGTGGGGCTGTGTGCAGGATGTGCTGTTTTCTAAATATGAGACTTTTTTTTTTTTTTTTACAGCTTTTATTCTTTAAACTTTCTTTTTGCAACTCTTGCATGAGTGTCAGATTTTTAGAGTTCAACACCAGAGGTGGCAGGAGTGTCTTGGCCGCTTGTGTGAATAATGCCTCCCTGTCAGGTTAGGCGACTTGCCACTTCTTGGTAGGTTTGTAGATTTAGACAGTGCTTGAGATGTTTTATAAGCTAACCTTGATTTATTTTTCTACAAATCTACTTCTGACCTGTCAGCTGTGTTTCGTCTTCCTAAAGGAGTTTGATCACCAAAGTTTTCTAACAAACCTCAGAGGAGCCAGAACAGCTGTAAAATATATTAACTAATTAGGTGACTTGTGAAGTCTTCTAAAGAATTGCATTGAGAGGAATCAGAGCAAAGTCACCGATGAAACTAAATGAAAGATTTTTGAGCATTTGTGACATCTATACCAAACCCTTTGTATCCACTGAGCCTCACTGTACAATGCATCACCTGTCTGACCTGCCCTTTTCCTGAGATACACTCTAATCCCTGCTTTCTGATGACTCGCACAACCTGCAACCATGTGCCGTAGAAAAGATGAGACTTGGCACTCACTCCCGACACAATGACTAAAATGGTGTCACTGTGATAATATATTTTATGTTTTTTAATCACTGAAGAAGTTCTGGCAGTGAGTCTACGCTAATGATTGTTACTCTTCAGGTGACTGCATCAACAGATAAAAACCAGATTAAGGACAATCTGATGTGAGGACTTTGGCTCCAGAAGGGTTGAGCTGCTGCAGCTACAAAGCCTTCCAGCTCCTGGTTGCTGCTCACATTGACATGGTCATCAAGGGGTCATTTGAATTTGAAGGGATAACATTTTTGCCTTCAATGTCATAGGGAGTGTTTTTAATAACACAAGGCTAAAATGCTTGCCCGGATTTCTTAGAATAAGGAGGAAGAGATGAGAAGGATACCAAGGATAAAGAGAGACGCTTCAGTTCACAGATAAACGCTGCCTTAGCAGACGGGAAAGCAAGTTAACACCGGGAAAGAAAGCCAACAGTAATCCTCGTTAACTGCATTAGAGGTTCAGACATGTCAAAACGGCACGATAGCAAAGTTCAGGTTCACCCTCACATGCATTCCTCTTTTTATTTTCACTTCAAATGTTTAAAGTTTACAATGTCATAAATGAGACGTATGACGAGTAGATCCCGGGCACCTGAATTCGCTGATGCACACATCAACAGAGACAAACACCGAGTAAAACGAAACAACATTAAGGTCAGTGTGTATTTTATTCCCAAACAGTACAATTCTTGTTACATTGACTTTGTTGGATGTAAATATTGAAAAGGGACAGCTTGTGTAGAGACACATAAATGTTTCATATGAAACTATGTGCGTACAAACAGAAGAGTGTAGCAGACTCTTCTTGCTCTTTGAACCGGTCTGATGAACAAAAAAAAAAAAAAGAGAGACAAAACACAGTTGGAGCATCATTGAATGGCTTGTTTGTGCAATGATTGATAAAGCTACCAGAAAAAATGGCAGCTGGAAGTCTCAATCAGGAGATTTGCTTTCATACCCTTAGCGTTTTCCTTCGTCACTTTGTAAAATAGAAATACCTCTCCTCACCAGCGGACTAAATGCTTAAGCAGCCTTCATTTTGCCAAATCCCCTTACCATATTTACAGGAACGGCTACTGACTGATCAGTCTTAAGTGCCTTCCTGTTGTTCAAAAGTGGCTCAAGTAAATCCTTCACGGTGGATGGCTCATCAAGCGAGCTGGCTACGTCTTGTGAAATGCGAGCTGATTAGCGAACGCTTCACATCAGCAAACTGATCAGGCAGTGTAATCCTTTTAGCGGCGATTCACAGAGATCAGTACAAACAGTCTTTACATTTGACAAATGCAAATGTCATGCAAATCTTGCAAGTTGTTGCAAATCATGATGCAGAAAGTTTCTCCAAAGCAAGACCAAAAGCCAACATTCCAAGCAAAGTAAAAAAAAACAAAAAAAAACAATATGTTTACACAAGTATAATGCATGTGGTGTTGCTTTTAATGTTAGAATGGAAATAAATAAAAAATGGCACACATTGTGCAGGGGCCGAGGGGTTTATGTTTGCATAGGCGTAAACTAAGGTTGGACACAAAATGTATATCTACAATTCTGACCTTAATCAGTTCATCTGTCAGTGTTTTTATTGATAAAGTGGTGTACAAAGAGGACGAAGAGCAAGGAATATTTGTGGCTCAGTGTTTTTAAGACTGGATCTTTGCTACATCTGGACAGAGTTTAACAGTCACCCTTGTGCCAACTACATAAATAAGGTCCACTGTTTCACTGCCTAAGCCCCCATCCCGACATACCCAGACAACATACATAGACGGAGGCGTTTGGATGAAAACAAGAACGTTCTAATACTGCATATATTTGGGCAATGGGAATATTACAAAGAAACTACTGGAGTGGGGAAGACAGGAAAAAACACTTCATACAAGGTTATGTCTCACAAAAGGTGCAATCTGTAACAGTCAAAAGTGCTCTCCCTGCTGTGTAATAGAGTTTTGTACCACATCTATTTGTGATTGTGAGGTTTAAAACCAAACCCTTAAAAAGGTGTAAACCTTACACATATAAAAACAAAACAGCTATTTATTGTAGTTGAAAACTGTAATAAAGTATATTTTCTAAGTCTTGTCAGTAAGCATACTGCAATAATAAACTTATTAAAATGACAATTTACAGATTACACCTTGAAGAGTGAAGATTTTGTTCAAAAGCAGCAAAAGATAACATAATACTGTCTCAAAGACGAGGGAAAATTTTAAAAAAAAGAAAAGAAGAAGAAAGAAATCCAGTGACATCCTTTTTTTTTTTTTTTAAGTTTCACTCACCAGAGATCTGTCCATGGCAGAAAATGGTGCAAACATTGTAAAAATAAATACATAAATACGTACATGGATAATCAGTACATACATACACATATTGTATCATAAAATAAGAATAAAGTAATTATAAAATTCATATGTACAAATGCATAGTCCATGTGTTACAAAGAGAGGCAGACTTCTCTCTGGCATTATGTGAGGTGTCAGTGTGTGTATGTAATTTGTTGTGGTGTGCATGGCACTTGTACAAAAATACTGGCGTTGCAAACCAATTTGCTATGTGCAGGTTCTTCTTGTCTCCCGTTAGGTCTTGTCTTGGAGTCTGAAGGTTTGGGTCAAAAATTGAGTGGTACACGGCCAGGTGTGTCCGTGGTTTCCAGTGTGCAAGTCCGGAAGAGTTGTGTGAGTGCAAACACTGATGAGATGAGCAAAGTGCAGCGTTTGGCAAGCAACCGCACTCCATCTTCCTCTCCCTGACTCTGTCCAGACCGCACACTCCTACCACCATTCACACCACCAGTCCCAGCTGTTTCAACGGCCCCGACAAACTCTCGGTACAGACCAACTATCTCCTTCAACTTGTCCATAGGCTTCTGCCCGTCGTCGTCCTCATCCTTGTTGACAAGTCTTGCTTTATGGCAGATATCGCAACCAGGACAGGGGTTTGTTTTCAGGCAGGCGGCTGACAGCTGAACCAGTGCGCTGAAGCTAGTGGTTAAAGAGCGCAGAGCCTCATCTGGAGCCCAGCCAACACGTGTGGCTCGCTGACATCCAGACGCTAGTCGACGAGCCTCTGCCTGGAGAAGACTCCTTTCAGGTTCTGTCATGATGATAGGACTCATTCCAGTGCAGCTCTGTCCTACAGCAGTGTTGTCGTCTGTTCCATTGTGATTTAGGTCTGTGCTCTCCAGTTTTGAGAGTTGTTGAGCCTGGTCAAGTGCCCCCTTCTCTAATACAAGAAGAAGTTGATCTATATCTTCACGCAGAGAGGCAAAGCCGCCCCTTAGCCCTCCATAGTTCTTGTTGGTAAGGGAACGAAGACGACCACTGAGTGAAACCGTAGGTGAAACTGGACAAGAAACCAGAGGACTCAGTTCAGAGGATGCGGTGGAGAAAGTAGACAGTGGCCGAGGGTTGTCCCTCAGAAGGGACAGAATGTTGGGTTTTGGAGAGGGTGTCGTTGGAGAGGACGCCTGAGCAGGTTTGGGGCGTATGCGGCGAGAGAACTCATAAACCGTGAGTTCCTCGTCAAAGCTAACCCCATCTTCAGTGTCTCCACTGAAACAGTTGGCGTAAACAGTGCGACAGCCGCAAGACTCCTGATGTTGCTGTGGAGGAGTAGTGTCTGCTCCAGAGGAGGTCGGTGAGTCCCCTCCAATCTGCATGCTTGTCACGCCTCCCAGGCCAACAGCTGAATGAGGCCGTGACTGCGGCTGCTCTGAAGAAACACTGCCACTGTGTGGACTGTTATCTCTAAAACTCAGATTAGGATGTGAGCCATTTGTTCCGCTGGCCTTTTTCATGTGTGAACTTACTTCTGGAGCCTCTTTGATGGTTGCGATGACAACCTCTGCTCCGTCATCTAAGATGCTTCCTTTACTTCCTGATTTTGAGGCTATTGACTCTTTGTCCTTTACAGGGGTTTTGTTTAAGTCTGACAAACCACTTGCTACAGACAAACCTGAACCAAAGCCAGATGTGTCTCCATTGATGGTACTCGTGGAGGGATAGTCCAGATTTCCTAAAATCTCCTGGGAACGAGTCATGTACCATGGCAAAGACTGGATCTTTCCTCTCAGAGCAGAAGCTGGTAGTCTACCTCCAAGGCTGGAGGAGCTAGTTCTCAGATCAGAGCCTGAACCAGATCGACCAGGTTCTCTGCTGTCAAGGCCTCCAACACCTTTACAATCGACTGAGGTGGGTGAGGTGGTAATAGTGAGCGGCGCATCTGTATTTTTTGGTGAAAGGCTCTCATGGCTCAGAGAAACCCTCCTAGGTCCTGACTGGATGCTGCCATTGCGATTGTTCCATGGGTGGATCCCATTGGGTGTACTGATAGTATCCTTAAACATCCCTTTATTTGGATCAGTGGGAGACACAGGAGAGCTAGCAGGTAAAGATAATGGATGAAAACCGATGGAAGAAGTAGGTTTGGGGGGAACCGGTGGAGGAACAGCTAGCTTCGTGCCCGAATTGGAGCGAGGGATAGAGTGTAAGCTTGGTGGACTTTTTGTTAGAACGTTAGATCCATTGACTTTCTCATCAGTTCTTGCTGTTTCCTTTTTATCCGAAATGAATGTTTTGTCACTAGTAAGAACATGCGATCCATTCTCACACAGCAGATTTTTGTTTAGTTGCAAGTTGTTTTCCTGTTTGTTAGTCTTTTCCTCTGATTGTAGTGTTGTGTTGGTTACTGCCTGTTTTTTACATCTCACTGCTGTAATCATTGATGAAGGAAGAGGCAATCCACCTAATGTGACAGACTTGAACTCCATTGTGTCTGGCTCCATTTCCAAAAGTTCAGAAGACAAATGTCCAGAGGCATCTCCATTGCACTGGGCATATGATCTTCCATGTTGGGGTGACTTGGGAGGCATCATCTGAGGTTTGGGAAGCAACTGGGGTTTAGGTGCCAGCGGTGGTTTGACTTTTGTTTCAGGTTTCTGGCATGACTTTGAAGCACTCGGTTGTGGGTGAGCAAGTTGGTTTGTGGAATCTTTTAGCAACTCAGAATCCTTCTTCATTTTAGGTGATCGAGGTTTACTGGCAAGGGGAGATGATGGTTCTTTTCCTTGGAAAGAGGGAAGACTATTCCAGGTTCCACTCGAACGATTGGCATTTCGCCGATCAGCCAGCTCAGCATCTGTAAAAGATGGAGAAAAAGAGCAAAGAAGATACACAGACCGTTATTATACAGCTAAAAGAGGTTTTAAAAGAAATAATTCTTAGATGTTTTGACTTAAAACGACTGTGCCTGCATCAATAGACCTTCGCAAAGAATGAAATAAAAGTTGTCTTATCGTGAAAAAAAAATTCTAGAACAAACCTGACAAATCTGGAACTGGTGGTGTAAATCTATCCTGTGCATCAAAAAACTCATCTTCTGATTCTGAGACGTTGTCCTTTAACAAAAGAGCTGGTTTTGGGTTCGGCGAAGGAGTAAGAAAGAGACTGTCCTCATCTTTAGAAAGGCGGTGCTCGACTTGTGCTAATTTACTTCCAGGAATTGAACTTGTTCTTACTGGGACTTTGGGAGGAGTCTTTTTCTTTCTTTTAATGGGCAATCGTTCAAAAGGTGTGCTGTCAATCATTCTCAGATCTCTTGAACTAGGGATCTTAGATATGCGTCTGAGTTTGTGGATACCCAGGTCCTCCTCCTCCTTCTCGTCATCATCATCATCATCGTCATCGTCATCACTTGTAGCTCCCGCCGGACTAGGTAACAAATCATCCTTGGAGAGCTCTGCGAAGCAGAGGAAAGAGTTATCATTGCCACGGTAGTTTAGGTTTGTGGGTCGCAGGGGCCCTTGACGCTTTGGCTCAAGGAGGTACGGGTGGTGCACATCCAGATTTGAAGGATCTTCACCCGGGCTTGATCCACGAAGAGCATCCAGGCGAAAGGGGGCTTTGGCTGCAGCGTTGCTTTCATCCAACGCAGTGCTCAAGGAACTGCTGGACAAGCTGGAGAAGCTGCTGGTAACTCTTGGATCAGTGTGATACCAGCTGGTCTCCAGGTTCATTTCTTCATCCACAACTTTAAATTTACGTAGACCACTTCCTGTTGCACCTTCTTCCTCTTCGCTCTCGTTTTCCTTGCCTTCTGTTGTAACTATTATTTTTACTTCTTGTTTGCCTTTGTGTTCTTCTCTCTCTTTTCTTTCTTCCTCTCTTCTCTTTTCTTCCTCCCCTCTTCTTCTCTCCTCCCAGTCCGTACTTGCGGGGTCTGAGCCTTTGTAACTCTGAGAATCCATTGGGTCGTCATCATCTGTGGAGTCATCTGAATCACTGCAGCAGCGGGACACATAACCTAATGCAGAAATCGAAGACAAGCACAGTGTAAAGTTTTATGGATGAACACTGTTGAAGAAAATTATGTTCAATTATAACAGGATATCACAGCAGTTATCTTTATCCATACATGTATAGCCTAATGATATACCCTTCTGAAACCCGGAAGAAATGCTCATTTATTTGTAAATGTGAGAAATTTACAACTAAAGTATATTTTATTTGTTTCTTGATGATCGTGAGGCCTCGTTTGTTCTAAAAATATAATGCTGTGACATTACGCTCTGGACAAAATTCACTATGACATCTTTGTTTTTTCTTTAAACAGATTTGTTTGTTTTTTTTAGTTGATTTGCGGGGGATAAATGTCACATTATTTACAGAAAGGTTTGTCTGATTATAATTTTTTACACCACAAACACCAGCCCTTTTAACGTGTTTGCAAGCCTTTTAGAGCTACTGTATGTATTTGGAAGTACAGTATATGATTTTAGAGTTTGGACACATTTAATAAGTTGTACTTCTCAGGACAGTGGCCTCTACAGAGGAGAAAAATAACTCTGTAAACAACTCTGTGGGTCTCAGGAGGCTACAGTATTATTGACATCTGATGTGGAAAATGTCAAAAAGGCCAAAGCCAGAAAGTGATGGTTTTAAGTGAAACGGGTTTTTTTTGCTCACTTGTTAGGGATTCATAGCACACTCCCTCTATTACGGCGAATCTCCCACACACACCTTCTTCAGCAGGAATCCGGTGCACCCTGACTTTCGGGCGCCCCAGACGGAAGACATTAACACTTGGATCCACCAGGAGTTTGCAGTAGCCTCCCAGCAGACACCCTAAGTCTTTGGCAGCCATAGAATCCATCAGTAAGGCAAATGGCTGAGGGAGGGGAGGGCATTGGAGAACATTAGGTAAATGGAGGCGGTGAAAGCCAAAGGTAAGAAAAGAAAGGCGGAGAAGTGGGAGAAAGAAGGAGACACTGTCACCTTTGTGTTAGAGAATTATCATGTACACTAGCTCCCAAAAGTTATGTATTCCTGAACTCGAGGAAGCATACTTGACCTACTTTTATTCTAGCATGAAATTTGGCACAAAAATAGAACGCTAAGTGCATATGCATGTCTTTATCAATGTCTCTGCCAACGTGTTTATGAATTATACAGCATCTGGATGAACAGAGTCACTCGTGGCTTTCCTACCTTCATATCATGCAGTGAAATGCGTAGCAGGCTGACTTTGTCCGACTCGGATAGCAGCTCCACTTTGCTGATGCTGCTGAACTCAACCAATGTGGATATCATGTTGATCTTGTGGTTAATGACTTGACTCAATCCATACTTGGCACCTACTAGCAAGCTGACCATCACTTCCCTGTCCTGAAGCTGAGCAAAGGTGAAAGCACACAAAAATACAACAAAAGGACATCACAGTTATAAGGCATATTGACAATGTAAATCATCCAGAGGTGCTTAAAGGTACACCTGTTTATTTGCATATGATAGCAAATCACTTCATTTAGACGTCTAAATGGAATGAGGACAACTTGTTGAAGCTTAAACCAAATATCACAACTGGAAAGAAACTGGATTTAAGAGACATACTGTTTTGAGAATATCAGAAACTGTTGAGCTTCTGGGATTTTCATACAAAACCATCTTTTGGCTTTACAGAGTTTTGCTTAAATGCTACAGCCTATGTAAGTGTTGTCGCTGGCCATGTCTATCCCTTTATGGCCACATTGTACCCAGCTTCTGATGAACACTTCCTAGTGTACCACATGTCAAATCTCCATAGTCACCAGATGTAAATCATCCAGAGCACATTTTGGTGAAAATGGGAGATTCTTAGCCTCGATGTGTACAGACAAATCTGTTGCAACTGCATGATGTCACGATGGCAACATAGACCAACATCTCTGAGATTTGTTTCCCTTACCTTATGCCAAAAATAATTACGATTGTTAAGCGAAAGTCAGAGGCTAAATAAGGGCCTAACGCAGTACTACCATGATGTACACAGTAAAGTGTTTAGTGCTTGTATTTTAGAAAGTGGACTCGCACAACTTAAAAACAAAAAGGTTCTTACCATCATTGTGGCCGTGTAAGACCGTCCACCATAAGAAATGAGTTCTCCAAGCTGAGTAAGGTAGGCTAATCTAGCCTGCGTAGCCGATATTACCTGGAACACAAAAGTTAACAAAAAAAAAAAGAGAGAAAATATAGTAAAATCAAATCAGAAATTCTCTGACAGTCTAAGCAGATAAGCTCCTCCTTAAGTACTCCGCTGCCCACTACTTATCATTTTCTAACGTCTTTAACCTCGTAGGATATTAACAGCTAAAATAAAATGCTCCCCAAAGCCTTCACAATACAGGCACGATCTGTAACGAACGGCCTTCTGTGCTTTTTCTGTCACTCATCTGTCATTCCTTGTCTACCTTCTGTCGTGGCTCAAGAAGGGACTGGATTTTTTTGAGGTGGTAGCTAATTGCCTTCCTCAGGTCCTTCTCCCTCATGTTGCTCAGCAGCGTGGGTGAGATAAAGCTGTCCAGGCCAAACTCCTTCCTGCCAACAACACATACACAGAGGAATGAAAATCAAACTTATAAAACAAAAGTGATCTGGTTGCCAGCACTATTTGACTTATTACTAAGAATAAATGATGTCTATAAAATGACTTAACACAAAGAAGATGTCATTGTAAAGGCAACTATGAAGCACTTTTATAATTGAAAACAACATCAACATACTTATTTAATAAACATAGTTAATAAAAACTGCAACTGTCTTCTTACGTGGTAAAACAAAACCCTCAGCAGTCTACTTTCTGAAGCTAACATTGCCCTTGTTAGCAATTTTAACTGGATTTTGTTTGACAAGCACAGCCTTAAAGGCAAGAAGGTTTGCATGGATTCCAGCGTGCATACCAGTTTGAGCTGTTAAAACCTTTCCATGCATGTCAGTAAATGTAAAGCATGTTGTTTTTCTCGCATAATTGCACGGAAAACTGTTAATTGTATGGTCGCTTGTCTTTAAGAGTTAAATCAGTTTAAAGAAATAAAGCAACCTGGAGGATTTCAGGGTTGTTTGTATACATAAAGTATATATTTTGGGATGAGTGAAGAAAATGTTTGCTTTATGCAAGACACTAAAAACTGAAGTGTTTTCGTGAACATTTGTTTGAAGACTCAAAGCGGAACGCTCCAAGCTAAGCTGTTAAGAGTACCTCTACTAGATTTTATTAGTCATCAGGGGAAAAAAAGTTTTGTTTTAAATATGCAATACTAATGAAAGAGTGCAGGTAACACCAGAATTTGTATCGGACATTTCCCCATACCAACAATCCCCCCTAAACCTCCTGGCCTTTCCTTAACCCTAAAATCAGGCCATTACCTTCTGTATCACTTAAAAAACACAATTACATCCTCACACACCAGCTTTAGATCCCTGGAGCTGGTGTGCATTTAGGCTATTGTCCTCATTACATATGCCCAATATGCTCCATCACATTAATAAATGACGTATTAATAAATTAGTATCTCCAGTCTAGACTAATCATAATCCTGAAAGCAGCAGAGCGCCTCGCTTTCTAGACCATCAAAATCAATGACAGCCAGCAGCGACCTTCGTGTTGTGACCTCAAACTGACCCAGACTCACACAGAAGACTCACGTAATGCTCTTGATAGAAGTCCGTGTCTGTCCACAACTATCAAGTCTTTCATGCATGTGCAAGGCAGCCAGACGGAGCGCCGTGTTACACTTCATCTCCACAGCAAAACGCTCCTGGAGCACATCTCCAACACTCTGAAATCATCAACAACCACAGTCAAATGCGAACGGACACTGCGTACACACATGCATGTCGAAAAGCTGTTTGTGCTCTGATGCACCGCCAACATCTACTATACGGCAGAGGTTGGGGAAAAGAAAAAACACATTGGCAACTCTGGAAGTCTTTCTAAGTAAAACCAACAGTGGGAACTCCAAACTGTCAGGAAAAACAAGCACAGCAGGACGCAAAGACTGTTTTTAAAACATTAAATCAGCATGACATAAGTGGCACTCCTGTGGCTTTTATTGTGCAATGAAAAATATGCACAGACTGTGTATGGCTTCGCATTTGTTGGTTTTACAAAGAAGCCTCAGAGCTACGTCATCAAAGTGGCGACTGCTTAGAACAGCAAATGTGAAGATTACTAGAGACTCAAAGAGGTGCAGGAATAGAGTAAAGCAATTGTTACACGACAGAAGAGAATCATAAGAGACTGGGGCCGTCTTGAAATGATCAGAGAGATTCACGGTGCAGCTTTACTGTTCTAACAAATTCTTCAGCTTTGATGAATATATTTCTTAGTTTTGGGGAATTTTTTTTTAAAGAAAGCACATTGGTTGAAGTTGTGAACTAAACAAAGTACATACAGTCGTTTCTTTAACTTTATGATACATGAAGGTTTCTCCAAGTTAGTCACTAAAGCGGAATAAAAAAAAGTATATAAGTAGTGCTGTTGACAGGTTTCTCTGACCTGCAAAAAGAGATACTCAAAGGCCAAGGAGTCCTCCTGCAGCATGTCTGTGGGGTCTCTGGGAATGAAGCAAACCCTGAACAGACATCTGTAATCATGTGAGTCTTTTTTCTGCACCACCTGGTGGAGACAAAACATAGCAGATCCTACATGCATTACACCGACACTCAGCCATAGTGTGAGCGTTCGTCTCTGCCCCCCCCGAGGGTGCATATAGGTTCGTCTGCAGAGTGCAGATCCCTTACCTTTTGTATGAGCTCGTCTTCATGCAGCAGCAATAGTTTTGTGATGCTATACTGCTGCTCTAGTACCAGACCAAAGTACTCAATCACCCGGATGGACAGTTTTTCCTTCAGAGTCAGAACAATGTCCTGGAAAGACGGGAAAAACAAAATTTCAACCAACTAAAACAAACTTGCTTTTCCCAGTCTGCTGATGCCAGATGGACGATCTCACACCCCCCTCCCGCCCCCCCGCCCTCCTCCCTCCTCAGTTTTCCCCTGGCTGGGAATTAAAAAAAAAAACAGTGAATCCAAGCAGGAGAGACGTTGTAAAGTGAAAATAAACTTAATCCCGCTGGTGGTGAGTTTTGGAAACAATTATCCTAACATGCAACCTCTTCCGGACACATTTAGTAATTATCATTCCATAATCAAGAGAGTTTGGGCAACTGCAGCCAGTGAACATACTACAAATTACAAAACACACCCACATTCCCTTAGAAACCTGTTCACAGCAGTGACTCACTCACGCTGGTTTGCATGTGAAACCCTTCACCGGATTTTCTCAAAAAAAAAAAAAAGAAAGACGTGCTTTTTCAGAAAACCAAAGCTGTGCCAATCATCGGGTCTTTCGACAGGATAATGATCCAGGTATATGGCTAAATAATCACAGAATTGGTTCCCAAGCCTCTGAACCTTTGTATTGGGTCTCATGACGTACAACATCAATGTTCAAAATGTCTGACTCGTATTAGGATTAAGATTCATCTTGGTCTCTTGGGCAACAACATGGATCTAATTTTTTATCACTAGCTGATGTCGTCTAAATCTTTAATGAAAATGCCTCATTGAGCTCAGAGGGCTATAATGATGGTGAAAACCAAAACCCCTACCTTCACAGAGGTTGTATTGTCAAACTTGAAGGCCTTGGTCTGGCCATTCTCTAGATAGACTTTCAGGACATTAGGAAGGAAGAGAAGAGAGTTTCCCTATTGGAAAAAAAGAAAGAGGAAGCAGTTAGACATGTAATTAAACAACACAACGCATTTCAAATGTGAGAATGAACCATCCAGAAAAAAAATTATTCATTAATTCCTCTTTGGTAGGTTTTTTTTTTTTTTTTGTCGTCAGAGAAAGTGTTTCTACCTGAGTGTGCCCATTGACCACCACCTCCTCTGCAAAGCGCACTTTAACTGGATTACTCCTCAGACGAGCTCTCTTCTCTGCTGACATTATGGATGACTTCGGATTCTGCAAAACAAGAGCTATCAATGAGACAAGCTTATCGTATAGCCAGCAGTGAAATAAGAAAATGGGAATCTGAGAACGCAACTTGTTTTAAAGAAATCATAAATTTCTGCAATGCAATTCGGTTTAAAGAATGGGGGAATATGCAAACTTACTGTCACATGTTAGGAAAAAAAAGAAACTGTTTCAAATGTCAAATGACTTCGCTAACGTGTTGAGATTTTTCTTAGTACTCACTGTCATGTGCCGCAGAATAGTCACATTAATGCAATCCTCCAATTCCCTGTGTGGACAAAACCAACAAATAATAACACGGGATGCGCACACGTCTTTCTGCACCTTTGTACACATTTAACTTTTCCACATTTTTGTCAAAGTACAACCACAGGCTTTTAATAAGCAGTTTTTTTCTTTGTTTACAATTAATAATCCAAAAGTGTACCTTCTGGATCTAGAAGGGTGGTGTCTAAAACCACCTGTCAACACCTTGCACATCTTGAGATCGAAATGTATGATTATTCTGTGCAAAATAGTTCAAATGCAGTCAGAATGAACTAAGTTTTGAAGGCTCAACAATGATTCTAGACCTGCACTTTGACTGGACTATTCAAACACATGAATAGCTTTGGCTGTATGTCTAGTGGTGCTTGAAGGGTCCTGTGTGAAGTTGGACCTCTTTCCCCTTTTTAAAATCTTTTGTATATTTGAACAGGTTTTTGCTCCAGAACTGCCCCTGCAGGTTGCTTCATCCATGTCTTCCACAGAGTTTTCTCTGACCTATCTGCTGTGCTCCTTCATGGTGCTGTTTGCACTCTGATGTTCTCCAGCAAACCTCTGAGGCCTTCACAGAACACCTGGATTTATATAAAGGTTAAATGACAAACAGGTGGACTGAATTGACTCTTTAAAGAACTTCTTAAGGCCACTGTTTACACTGGATTTTATTTATTGGTATTACAGAATAAAACGTTGAGCACAGGTTTTACATTTTCATGCATAAAAAGAAAACCAGGTTTTCTTTGACTTTTCTTTAAATGAAATACTGCAACGTGGTGAAATGTAGAAAAGCACAAGGGGTATAAACAATTGTCCAAAGTGCAAGAGGTCTTCCATCCAAATGTAAACGTGAATGGTACACACACACTCTTAGAAAGCGTCACCATGAAGCAGCTCAGATGGTGGATTTAGTCATCGCTCCGCTCTGCCATAAACCTTAGATAGATGGTCTCACCTCAAGATGTTCTCCACCTGCTCTGCACTCAAATCCTCCATCACTTTATCATTTATCTGCAGCACCTGGTCTCCTGGGAATAGGATCCCATCTGCGGGGCTCCCTGTGGTACACACACACATACACACACACACAAGCTGAACATAAACCCTGGCTGCAGAAACGTGCACGAGAAGCACACGTCACAGAATGGCACACATGCTCACTGAACAGGGCTGACTCAACAGTGTTGGGCTGAGCTCTCCAGGACGTGAGGGGTTACAGTTATTCTGGGTTTCTTCCAGTTCGCCTCTGCTCTGCCTACTCTGGTTATTTATACTCATTTGTCTTCAGGCTAGAGAGAGGCACAGCAGTTCCATCTCACTCTGTAGCAAACGCACAGTCACTTCCAAGCCTACAGAACATATGGGACTGTCGACACACACAGGCACACGGCTCCGCGCTGCTCTGCCTGCCACTCGTGTTTTAGCCTCTGAAGGAATGCTGCGAGCTTTCGCACAAACACACACTGAAGCGCAGCTCCACCCTTCTCTCCTATAGCCTCATCTCTCTGCTTTCTTCCTCTTTATTTTTTAAGTCATTCTTCCTCATAATTTGCTCTGGCCTTCACTCTTTTTCTGACTCCTCCCACCTCAAAGGCGATACGCATCTCTCCCCTCCGCCGTCCTTTACATTTTCGCACACTTTTTTTTTTTTATGTCGTGTTTGCACTTAATCCATTCGCTGCTGACAAATCCCGCTCTCTGTTGGATGTCCCCAGTTATCACCTCCCTTTCACCTTCTCACCATCTTTCTCTGGCAGCAGACAGCAATTACAGAGATGAGGGCAAGGTGGGAGTCTCCTCTAGGCCTTTTATCAGCTTATTTTACAAGATTGATGTCAAAGCGATGGATCAGCATCTTCGTGTCTGACTTCCTCCTGATACCTCCAATCAGAGAGGTCTAAATGAAAAGTGATTGAATTCAGGAAGGACGAGCAGGTGGCTCTGCTGTTTACGTGGCCTGCTCTGGCACAATGCCGAACATGATGGGTGAAGGCCAAGAGAGACTCAGTGTGTGTGTGTGTGTATGTGTGTGTACATGCATTTGTGAGTGCAGAAACACAAAAATGTGACTTGCTGCAGGCAGAACACAGTTGCATAAAGCAGGTGGCTATTTGGAGAGAAGAATTAGAAAACAACTTACACTCATCCACATAGACAAACACGTTACACAGACACACACACACACACACGCAATCATTCAGCATGTACCTGGGGCAACATCCCTGACCAGCAGGGGGCTGTCTGTGGTGAGAGTGAAGCCATGTCCGGTGCTCCGGTCCAGGACGGGGTCTCTGGTGATCTGCAGCGTCAGTTTAGCCTGGAAGCTCTGACTGGACAGACTGTTGGAGCGCTGCGACCGCCCATCGCCGAGGAGACGCTCTCTGAGGAGGTCAGAAAGGAGGACAGGTCATCTGGTGGCAATACTCATCCACAGATACTAAGTATATTTATAATTTTTCTTAATTCTCTTTTAATATATATAATGTACCATTTGCATTATATTTTCACTTAAAACTTTACACTTTAAGAATTTGGGAATTAATTATGTCACTTATTATAGTTTCAGAAGAAATGGGGGGGTGGTTATATTTTTTTTTTTTTTTTTTTTTTTGCTTGAAAGTCAAATATAAGCTCTACAACCATTGGAGAACTAAATTTTAGCCCACATTAATCTTGTAATATCTGTCCATTTTTCCAGTTGCAAGGTATCCAGAACATGACTTTATGTTTTGGGTTTTTTTCTCCTTTAGAAATCTACACAAAAAAAAAGGAACAAAAGGACAGAAACGGGTGGATAGATAATGCTACTGTAAAATGTCATGTGTTCCAGGAAACTAACATTTGTCGTAATCCTGACAACACGAGAAACATGATGGTGGCAGCATCATGCCATGGGGACAACGAGCTGCATGTGGCTAACGCTACAATGGAATGGTTTAGATCAGGGGTGGCCAAGTCCAGTCCTCGAGAGCCACCACCCTGCAAGTTTTAGAAGTATCCTTACTCCAACAGACCGGGATCAGCTCTACAGAGGCCTGATAACGAGCCAGTCATTTGATTCAGGTGTGTTGAAGCAGGGATGCATCTGAAACTTGCAGGATGGTGGCTCTCGAGGACTGGACTTGGCCACCCCTGGTTTAGATCAAGGCATATTCATGTGTTGGAAGGGTCCAGTCAAAGTCCAGACTTAAATCCAATTGAAGGTTTGTGGCAAAAAGAAAGGTCCTGTTCGCCGACGCTCTCTTTCCAATCTGACGTAGCTTGAGCCACAATGCAAAGAATGAGCAAACAATTCACTGCCCCATATAAGTATTCACTCCTTTTCTTACACGTCTTATGTGTTTTTAGTGTGTGTGGATGTTTAAGCTGGAAAGTTTAACTTGTTTTGTTTTTAAACATTAAAAATATTTACACAAGCACTTACTCAGAGTGTTTGTGGTACTAATATACACATGAATCAGCCCCTCTTAGCTAAAAATGTAAATACATTTTTGTAACAAATTACTTAGGCCTTGCTGAATTACTGCAGAATAAACCCCAAGAATTTTTTTATTCACTGCAAATCAGGATTCCTTCTAAAGCAAATTGCAGAAAGCAGCCTGGGATGGGTGAATATGTGATCTGGGAGCTTTTATTTTAAATTTGATGCCAGCAGCTTCTTCCAAAATAACTCAGCGAAACATGCAAAGGAAGGTATTATTGGTTACATTTTTATTTCTTTTCTTTTTTTCTTTTTTTTTTTTTTTAGTAAATCAGTAACATCAGAAAATCTAATGGAGGCTATGTCTTTAGGAAACAAAAACATGGAAATGAAATGCAGGGAAATAATATAAAAACACATCCAGCGTGCCCTGCGTTAAGAGGCATAGTTTGGGGATTTTAACGTGATCAGTAGTATCAGTAAAAGAAAAAGAAAAAAAGTTACTCTGTACAAAAGCAGTAAATGGGCAAGGATTTCATGCCCGCAGGTAAAAAAAAATAAACATACCTTTGTGATGTTTATTAATGCTGAGCAACAGAAACAGGACTTTAGAGCAACATGTTGTCATCTAGAAAGGCAAGTCTTTCTTTCTTTTTTCCCCCTTTGGTAAAATGTTGCTAAACCACATTCTAAATGCGTTACAGCAGAATGACTCCATGCACAAAGACCGTCTACAATGAGCCGCCCTCTAGTCAATAGATTGTATCACATCAACACTTCAGTCAACAAAACTTCAGAAGAAGTATTTTGTTACATAGAAAGAGGGAATTTAACTTTCAAGGAAGAAAATCATTAGAATCTGATGTCTGGTATGCTTTTGATCAAAAAGTTCGAGTTGACTGTATATTTAAATTTCATAAATTATGTTGCAGTTCACAGAGTCAGACGGTCACCTCAGCAGAATGAAGTTCACGTTCACATAAAGACAAATAGACACCTTCGTTCAACTCTAACAGTGCCATCCTCTCTTTGAGCCTTCTGGTCAAACTGAAGACAACATGGCAAAGTTTTCCCAAGAGCATCTACCAGTAGGAGTTCCTGGTATCTGCTTCCTCCTGCACCAAGAAAGAGAAAGCATTTCGCCGACAACTACAAGAGGATGGCGAGCGATTAAACGCATATTTGTGGTTTACTGAGGGGTGTGTGTGAGAGGGACAGTCAGAGATCGAATATGTACTCGGCAATGTGGTATGCGTCTTTTTGTTTGGGTGTGGGCGGAGATCTACTCTGTGCGTACACCAGGTTAAGAAACGAGCCTTCAAATTCCCCCAGCTTTATATCATCAGTTTCTGCTTTGCTTCGTTATGAGGAAAGTTTTGCAAAACTGAATAAAGTTGCTCTTAGAAGCGTCTGTAAGCAGCAACAATTTTACGCATTTTCTTTTGTGGATAGATTAGTTGGTGATGAATTTCACCTCAGTCTTCTTTTCAACATTGTTTGGTTAGATTTTGTGGGTTTTGTTCATTATTTATTTGCTTATTTTGTGGCTGCACCACCACCACCACGTTTAGCAGTTGATTGTGTTTTTGCTGAAATGCTGAGTTGGCTGCTACCAAACTTGCTTTGTGGCCAGGTTAATTAGACTCTTTACATCGCCCCAATGTAAGAGTGTGTGTGTGTGTGTGTGCGCACCACTGGCTGTCCCGTGTGTCCCAGTGATGGACTGGCAACATGTTCAGGTTGTAACCCACCAGACAGTTTTACTGCATCTGTCCAAAGGACATTATTCCAAATGTCTGATCGTTCATCTAGATGCAATCTTGCAAGCCTAAGTCTAGCTCCCATATTAATTAGATAAAAGAGGCTTTCAACAGGCACTCTTCCAAACAGGCCCTACTTACTCAGTCTTTTTCTAATTGTACTCACAAACTTGCTAACTAAGCCTTGTAGGGGCTGAGATGCGGCTCCTCCTGGGTGATTTGAAATTTCTGAATTTGCTGAGACATCCACTCCTGGGAAGACAGGCCTCTTTCTAAAATATGTTTTCCGCTTGTGGATTCTTTTCCTAAAGTGGAATTAGGAAGTTTGATTTGATTATGAAACAATTGCCTCGTAAGGGTCACATCTGTTGTCTTTCCTTCATTGCATTGCAACACACAAAGCAGCAAACTGTCAACGATAGACATCTGCAAATGATGCGAGGACTGACAATTTGAAGCTCCCCGTATTTTTTGAATACATAAAAGATTACTTTCTTTAACTACAGACACACATGATGTGTTGGTGTTTGTTCTTTTGCAAACACACCTGTCACACAGTTTGTTCCATAGCTATTTTCTTTTTTTTTTTTTTCTGGTTTCTAGGAATTTTCTCAGGTTTAAAAAACTTTTTTTTGTTTTTACAATCTTCTCTGCCTCCTGTTCTTCCCGTTACCTGCTCAGAGATTCTCGAGTGCGTCGAATTATTGTTCCCACCACCTGCTGCACCCGATTGGTCCTCCGAGCTGGAGACCTGCTCCTGCATCGCTCATTCTCCTCCATTTATCTGAAACAAAAAATAGGAAAAGAGTGAGGTGAGATGCTTGGGAGTGGCTGACATGACCACAAAGAATCAAAGCACAAGTGGGAAAAGGATGAAAGAATCTGGAAGGATCAAATCAATTAGAAGCCACTCATTGGGTTTGTTTTTGGAAATTTCAAAATCCATGCTCCTTTATATGCAGCAAATGTTGTCTGGCTTGAGAGCAATAAATAAACAGATATAAACAAAAAACAATTTAAAAGAGAGTCCTATCAGGAGAATTGGGTGGAGCTTATTTAGCATGAGCAACGGCACATGACTCGATCAGCAGCAACTGAACCGTCACACAATGGTAGGATTTGCATTAGAAATGTCAACAAATGTGCCACACTCTGCATGTTTGCTGCAGCTCAGCAGCTGTGCATTTTTATGCTTAGCTTGCCCTTTGAAGCGGGGAGCTGTGGTGACATGGTGACTGATGCAGGGGCTCGGTTTGGCCCTCAGGGCGGAAAGCTGTTCGGCGCTGACTTCAGTTCAAAAGTCAACTCTGTTTCTTCGACTACTTTTCTCTCCTGTCAGCCATTTGATACACGGCAACAGAGACGGCGGATAGTTCATTTGCATTTCTTTATTTCTTTAAAATATACTTTACAAAGCACGTTACACGACACATGTTTATGTTCAGCCTTTGTTAGAAAGCAAAACTTTCAGAGCTGTCAAATCAGATTTACAGTGCCATGCAAAACCATTTACCCGTCTTGAGGTTTTCCATAAAACCACAAACTCCAGAGGATTTTAAGTATTGCGTGGCTTTTAGAGTACAAGCAAACAGATACATCATTCCTAGATTTTTATTTGCAAATAAAAATCTGCTGATATGCTCAAGTAAAGTTGACTAATTGCTTTTAGAAGTCACCTTTTGAGTAAATAAAGTCCACCTATAATTTAATCTCCTCACAAATCCAGCCGTTCCGTGAAACTGACCGATACGTGGTCACCAACTAAAAGACTGATGGGGCAAACAAGAGAACAACAATAAGGCAAGAGGACAACAGTGACTGGAGGAGCTGCAGAGATCCACAGCTCAGGTAGAAGAATCTGTTGACAGGAAGACTGTCCGTCAAACCAGGGTTTTGTGGAAGAACGGCAAGAACTGAGTCGTAAAACGTTCCCGTTTGTGTTTGACACAAACCACAGGGGACACGGAGAAAACACGTTAGAGACGGTGTTTTCTCTAGCGTGAACTTTATGACCAGCACGCACAAAAATAAACTAAGTGTTGCAGAGGACTAACATGAACACATGATGCTCAGAGTGAAACCTTCTGATGGATGTTTTTTTTTTTTTCCTTCAGCAGGAACAGGAACACCGGTCAGAGTTGATGAAAAAATTGGCGGAGCTAGTTAAAGGTCAGCGCTGAAGGGAAATCTGTCAAAGGCCGCAAAGCACTCGACACAGGGGCGGAAATTCATCGTTCAGCAGAACAATGACCCAAACCATACAGCCAGAGCAAATTACATTCATGCATTTGACTGACCCAGTCAAAGTCCAGGGCTAAATCCAATTAAGAATCTTTGGCAAGACATTAACATCCAATTTGATTGAGCTTGAGCTACTTTACAAATTGTCCACATTTCTAAGTACAAATCCCTGAACATCTGAAGCTTTGGAGCTGCAATTGTAAAGGAAGGAGATATTGTCCCTGGAGATATTGATCAACCATGTTCCACACTTTTCAGATACATTCAAATCATTTTAAAAACGTGCATCCTTTTCTCTTTTCCTTTGAAATTATACCGTAGTTTAGGTTGGTCTATCAAATAAAACACTTACAAGATTAATTGATGTTTGTGGTTTTGCAATGCAACAAAATGTTAAAACTGTTTATGAGGATGGGGGTCAGGGTAATACTAAAACATGGCTTCGCTCTGGACGCCTCACTGATGACTTGCTCTGGGCACGTCCCTCCAGGAGGAGACCCAGAGGAAGACCCAGGACATGCTGGAGCTGGCCTGGGAACGCCTCGGGATTTCCCTGGAAGAGCTGGCCCAAGCGACTGGAGAAAAGGACGTCCAGGCCTCTGGACGTATGGATAAATACATGCTATGTTTATTTTCTTTTAATCTTTATTTACTCCTGATGCCTTCATTGCCCTCTTTACACCAATAGATTAAGTAAACCCAGAATATTTGGCCAGAACGGTGAGAGACTCAACCCAGACCTGATCAAAGTGGCTAACGATGATGGATGCGTTCCTGGATCCTAACGATCCTTGGAGAAACTCAGCCAAGACATTTTGACCAGCTCTCAGAAATGTGCGGGCCAGCTTCTTCAAGCCAAGCCTTTTGTTCAAATCTTGAAAGTCTTACACCAAACTTCTGGCGGCATGCCGCTTTTGTTCGCAGCATTTTAAAAAACATGCCTTTTCCAATAAATGAGTAAAGCTTGGGGTATTTCAGCGAAATTACCCTACTGTGCTTTGAGGTCTGAGAAAAGAGTAGACACTGCAGAGCAGTCAATAGTTGATGCAAAGAAGTGCTGCTGTGAGTCCAAACAGCAGGGTTTAAGCTCATTCTGCTGGTTGTAGGCCAATGCTGACTAACTTTTCTCCCTGTGTTAGCAGCTGTAGTAGTCCTGTCCCATAAGAGGATTAAACGCCCTCATAGGCCACTGGCCTGAACTGGTCAGGGTGTCACTTTAGCACCTCCTGCTTATCCGGATTGAAGCAGATTGATGTGGATGAGGAGGACTGGGTGAGGCGGGACGACACACAGATGGCCATGTGGGACCGAGTGTAATCACGGACACTTGTGCCGGTTTCAATCAGGCGAGAGGCACGAAATAATGGCATCTGCATCACATGCAGCTGATCGCAGAACACTTTCTGGCTTCTACTGAAGACATTCAAGATGTTATGTAACTATTATAAAAACACATCAGCACAAAGAGGCTGCAGAAGCATTCTAACATCTTTAAAATAGTACACTCAGGTTTGTGGCAAGACTTTAAGAAGGTGCTATTCACAGAGACTCTCCATCCAATCTCACTATGCTTGAGGAATTTTTGCAAAACCTTTAGTGTCCAGATGAGCAAACCTAGTAGACGTACTCCAAAAGACTTGGAGCTGAAATCACAGCAAAAATGTGATTCTGTCATTCAAAGTATGGTCACAGATGGGCTAAGTAGATGCACTCCACACTTTTCAGATTTTATTTATTAAAGAAAAACAAGTCGTTGAACTTAGAGTCATGCACTACTTTCTGTTGGTCTTGTTAAATAAACTACTGCGGGTTTTTTTGCTTCAAAATGTGAAGAAGTTAACACGTGAATATCCAATATTAACATAAACTAATTGATCATGAACAATGATTTAGCAGTGACCTACTGGATGCTTCTGTGACTAATGCTCTGATTCAGTGGACTGTTTTTTTTTTTTGTTTTGTTTGTATTTGTTCCAGACTTTTTCTATTGTCAGATGATGAACTGAACTGGACTGAACTGAACTGAACTGAACAGACCAGAACGCTGTGAAACTAGCAAAATATTTTTTTACAGCCTAACTCTGCTTTAAATCTCTCCACAACTTTGAACCTGGTCTGTCTGGAGCGTTCCTTGGTCTTCATCTTGATGTTCTCTAACAAACCTACAAGAACTTCATAGCTCTTCCAGATTCATGCTGAGATTAAATTACACACAGGTCAATTCTCTTTGCTAGTTAGGTGACTTTGTGTGGCAATTGTTTAGACAGGATTTTTATTTAGGAAAAAGTAGTTGGGACTCAGCAATAGTGACACATTATAGATGCAATTTCGCACCAAACCTCTTTTTGTAAAAACTTTTGCACATGTTTCCTTCCACTTTACATTTATGTGACAGCTTGAGTTTGTCTATGTCATAAAAGTGCTTTAAAATATGTTAAAATGTGATAAATTCTGAAAATGTCCAAGAAAGACGTTTCAGAGGTGATTCGTAGAAGTGGCTTTTTTGTGTTTAAATGCACCAGTCATTGTTGAGCAAGACTGTAATTTTTGCTGCTGCTTCTTCGCCCGTGTCTTTCATTTTCTCCTTTTGCTCTATAACCTTCTCTGTCCTTGCAGAGTCAGGTAGTCGTCTCCGATGTCAGTCTCTGTGGAGCAGCAGCAGCAGCTGAGGCGGCCGGCCTTTTCTTATATGCATGCACCCCAGCAGTGGCATTTGTTCTCAGAAACCATCAGCTTTACCAAAGCAGCTAGTTAGCACTTGCATTAATAAGAAATGCATGCTGACCCAGCATTTCAGCCTGCATGTCCCTGAAATTAATTGTGATAAATTACAAGAGCAACCAGTAGGTTATGAAATGTGGTTTGGGAATTTTAATCACAAACATTTTCTCAGAAGCTTCAGATTTTTCCACACGTCTCACCAAAGAGCTTGATGGTTAACGTTCTGATTAAACGTTAGTGAAAGCGTCACTCACTGAGATGTAGCTTGCCTCTTCAGGACTCCAAAACATGCATGCCCCCGTGTCTTCTGAGACATCAGCTCTGTGACCCCTCCGGGACTGGCTGAAAAAGGGTGGACAGGGGTCCTTGCAATCATCGGGGCCCCAATCTTATTCTGGCGCTGCCACCTGTGCGGGAAGAAAAGGCTGTCAGGAAAACCCGTCAAAATCTATAAATGGAGCGCATGTCCAAGCTTATATTTGGAACTAGACAAGGTATATCTGATTTATATTTGAGTCCTATTTATAAGTAACAAAGCTACATTCCAGTTGTTGATGTTTCCAATGGTGAAATGCAAGTATGTCAAGCCAAAGCAGATGTGAGCCCAAAGCAGCTATGTGGCTGTGGTTTTCCAGGAGGCCCCTCCTCTAAGTCCCAAAGGCTTCCCTTGCTTGCTCTCTCTCTCTCTCTCTCTCTCTCTCTCTCTCTCTCTGTCTCTCTCTCTCTCTCTGTCTCTCTTTCATCCTCCTCTCCGTCTTTCTCTTTGCACGGCGCTGTAGAAACAAGGCACTCCGTCTTACAATGTCTGGATGCTTAAATTAAATTTTCATACAACCCAGTTTAAGTCAACAGTTTTTACTGGGAGTGTTCTGGAAAGCCAAAAAAGATGCAGTTTAGAGGAAAGAGAGTTGCTGGCAAAGAGAAATCTTGGCCAGGGGTGAAAGAAGACAAATCTTTCATACAAGCATCAGAGCAGATATGGCTGAAGCCTTAGCTGGCCTCTGGTTTGGGGAGAAAAACACGCCTGGGGAATGCTTTGTAGCCGAATAAAAATAAATATGCGGAAAACGTTTAATTTTGTCCTTCGATGTTCATCGGTGAAGTCTGCTTTTGGTGCAAAAAGAGGGTGCAAATCAAGAAAATGACTGCCTCATCCATGTAACTCTCCAATCAGGCCCACACACAGCTCCTTTAGGAGGCCCATGTCTCCCACTAGAAAAGCCAGTGCAGGACCAAGGCGCACATAGAGCAGAGCACATGAATAATACATGGACCTAATGCAGCTAGCTCAGCCTCCAAACGCCTCCTTCTGCCCCTCTGCCAAGACAGGCAACAAGGACAGTGGCTTGAAGAAGGAGAAAAGCGATGGAGAGGTGGAGACTGTAGAGGGGCTGAGGAAAGGGGCAGCAGCACAGAAAGAAGAATTAGCTAGGGGAACTAAAAGGAGAAAAGGGGCAGGATATCGAGCGAGAAAGCAAAAGGGGGGAGAATTTTAAAGAGGGTGAAAAGGGCAGGGCAAAGAATTGAGAGAGCAAAGCTACAGGAGATTGTGGGGGAAAGAACAAAAGTTTCTGCAGTGGGAGGCAAAGGAGGACTGGAGGAAAAAAGGGGGTTGTGAAAGGGAGGACTGCTCCAACATCTGTGAACAAACAGCGCCTGTCAAGAGAAACTAATAAATCAGTATCTGGTCAGTAAATAAACAGTAGAAACGCAGCTGAAACACTGTCACTTTCTTCCTCTGAACTTGCAGAAATGGAAGATATGTTAGCATTCCTATATGTCAAACCTGACTCGCGTATATTTGTGCATCTAGAAAGCATGTGATGAGTTTGCTCCTCATCCAAATCAATATGCAATCTTGACGTAGCCCTCTGTTGTCGGGACTTAAAGTTCCCAAGCTTGCCACTCGTAAATCTCTGCGTCAGACTCCCTCGGTCGTTCTCCCTGTAGCTTCACGTGGAGGTTAAAAACTGGATCTGCCCCTCGGCAATCAGAGCCTGTCTCAGTCCTCTTGTTTCTATGTCTGTGCCTCGTTTCTCTGAGACAACCAACCCCCCACTCTTACTGCTCATTTTCCCACACAATGTGTCTCTGTCTGTGGCAAAACAGTCTGTGATTCAGCCCCCGGTATGAGCACACATGCACTTCATAGAAGTGACTCCACTCGCTCCTCGGGGGATTCAGAGGTGGTACTAAAAGTGTAGTTTCTGTGGAGCCTGCTGAACAGAAAACTGTTCTGAACCCAATTAGTGCTGCCAGGGTCGTTCGGGGTCACAGCGGGCTAGAAAACCCTGCACGGACACGGTCTTTGGAAGTAAAATTAGGCCCTTAAAATGAGCAAAAAACATTAAGAAATTGCTCTTTAACAAAGCCTTGGCCAACTTCCATTACTGGCTAAATGAATTTGCTACATTAACCTCCTGGCTACCAGGAAAAAAAGTATTGTCCAATCACCATTTTTGTAAAATCCCACAGTCTTTGTAAGGTATTTAGAATATTTATGCACTTACTTTGTCTCTTCCCATAAAATGTGTTATTACTGTTGAATGCCATTTTTATGAATTAGAAAAAGGTACGTACAAAAGTCCCACCCCTTCACATGTGGTATCATTGAAAAGCCCTAAATGTCCCCTCCAGATACCAAAAGGAATTAATTCAGTAGAATGCAGGGGGTGGGAGATATTCAAGTTTAGAAATTGTCCTCTACAGAGGACAAAAATAAACTACTTTTATCCTCCTACAGTCAGGGGGATAAAAGAGATAGAGTTAAAAACAACTAGACATTCTTTAAAAAAAAAACTTACATGTAGTGTAAACATGATTGAACAATCTCATGTTTTTGAGATTATATACTTCAGAAATTGTATTACTTCAGATTCAACAGTAAGATTTTTTGTTCTCTTTTCTCATTTAATTTTCAAATCTTGTTTTTATTGTTGATTTTATTACTATTGTTGCTATACAGCATTTTATAAACTCAGGAAATGAACCAGTGTTGGATTTGTGCATAATAATAACTCATCAATGTCCAATTTCTTACCAGCAAAAAGCCCATTAGTTGTTGTTTGCTCAGTGGAGTCTATTAAAAGCGCTCCTATATGATGACCTGGTGACCTTTTTCCAAACAAATTATTCTTGCCAGTTTTCCTACTGTAAACAAATGTTGCTATCAGCCAAAGATGTAAATATACATCACAGTCTCTGAATGATTAATTCATTCCTCAAAGAAAAAGAGCCATGCAAAACAACCTGGCCGTGCATGAGAATGATACTTCCCACCTTGCTTAATTGGGGATTAATTGGAATTGTTTGTTTTGTTTTGTTTATTTTGGAAAGCTGTGTTCAATTTCAGGTACTTCCTGCAGATGCTTTTTATCAAATCTGAAAGCCTTGCAATCGTTAAAGTTAATATTCGTGATTCAACAATGAGACAGAGACGGGGAGTAAAAGGCATCCGTGGGAGAGTTTAAAGGCAAAAAACATTCGACAAAACATATTTTGGTAAGCCCCAAGACTTTTGGAAAAAATATCCTGTGGACTGGTTGAGGCAAAAAGTGACTCTGACTAAAAGTTGTGTTTCTTGATATGTGTAACTTAAACTGCATTTCAAAAAGAACATCAATACCGACAGTCAAAGCTGGTGGTGGTACTGTTAGTCTTGGTTTGCTTTGTTTCAGGATCTGGAAGTTTTGCTGTAATTGATAAAACCATAAATCTGGCTCTCCGCCAGGAAATCCTAAAGGAGAACGTCACACCACTAGTTTAAGCTCAAGCACAATTTAGTGGGAAAATTACTCAAAGTGCTTCAGCAAATCCACCTCTGAATTTATAAAAGTAAATAAATAATGTTTTGACATATGAAGGTTTTGGATTGGCCTACGCAAAGCCTGTATTTAAATTTAAGAGGGATATTTGAGCATTCATGGAAGAAAACCATACCTTTGACACAAACTTCAGAAGAAGAAAAAGTTATTCAAGACTTGGACACATTATTTATGTATGTGGAGCGCTGCATGGCGTTGACAAACTGTTCCATACAGAAATCCTTGTGTTGGCATGTGTGAGAGGACACCCCATAGTATAATCCATTCCTCATCTCCTTTAACACGAAAACAAATTCACGATCCGCAAAGCCTAATTTAAACTTGCAGGATGTTTTTTTTTTTTTTTTTTAGGCTCCACAAACCTGACGGGCCCCGATGGTGACATAAAACTTGGACTTCAGGTCCCACAAATCACAAACAAGCGTATATGCGTAAACTCCCTCCCTGGTGGAGCACAACACACCGGACACAGCTGCACCACAGGAGGCTCAGGGCTGGAGCAGCAGGGGTTGGTTCAGCAATTCAACATTTCATTTAAGCTCACAGTTGTTGCCAATAAAGTTGGACACAGACTTCTGGGAACACTGAGTCCTGAAGCAGCACACTTGGCCCAAAGTACGTGTGAATATGCGTATCGCAAGAGGTGAATTGGGGAATTTGAATTTATGTGAAGCAGCTGAGCTGCTTCAAATTTCATAAGTGCAACAACAAGAAGGCGGCACGGAAAATGTCTCATCGAGGAATGAGAAGTCCACCTTTTCTACTTTTTTTATTCAAGGCTTATTGTTGTGAGTAAGTTAACATTGTGCTGAATAGGTTGCAAAATAAAATGAAGAATAAGTATTGTCAAATTTTCCACATGAAATGGTTGTTTAATTACAAAATATAAAAAAAGGTTTCAGAGTTGTTAGGAGAATAGATGGAGCTAAATGCAGGACAATTACAGAAGAAACTGTTAGAGACCACAAAAGTCTTGAGACTCAGATCAAACCATGTTCGTGTCTTGTAATGGCTCAGTCAAAGTCCAGATCTCATTTCATTTCACTTTTCACAATTTGGGTTGTGAGAAACTTTAATAATCAGTTTTCTTTGGTCTATAGCTCAGTCGCTGCTATAAACTATGTTGGCATCAATTATCTTTATTAGAAGAACATATTTTTGCCATTTCCAGCAACTAAATCGCACAAAACTGTCCCAAACATATTAATCTGCAAAAAGCTCTATTTATTTTATGAGCCTTGTTTTATCTTCATCGGTGGAAAGATTGCAACTGTTGCTTTATTGAATTCTGCAGCTTATTTCCCTGTCTGTTGCTTTCCAGACATAATCACATCTTCTCGTCTTTGTTCAGTCCGTCAGCTCGCTCCATTAGATTGATGAAGGCGGCGAGCTTTCTGTACGCCAGTTGTTTCATTTCCCCTTTTCACTGGCGGCCTGGCAAGATTTGTGCTTCCCCAGCTAACTATTAAATAATGTGTTGTTTAATGCGATGCATATCATTACAGATCCTTGTCAGCGGTTCTGAGCGTTGATGAAAAGACATGCAGACAGACCCACACTGAGAACATCTTGATGTCTGAGGAAGGTCTTTGGATGCAAGTCTAAGGTATCTGTCTTAATTTTAGCCAGTGTCAATTTCCTTCAAGTCTGGAGATCCTTAAAAAGCTATGCAATAAAGGCTTATCTTGAAGAAAATAAAATATGAGGGTCACTGAGTTTGCAGGAGGCAGTTTAAGATCTATGGGCCCTGGAACATTATATAAAATATAAAAACTAATTTTTAATTTAGACCTCTGCTGTTTGCATGCTGTAATTTATCATCAGTAGGACCAATTACTTTCTGAAGGCAATCCAGAGCTTGTTTTTTTAAATCATGCCTTTATGACTTGATCAGTTGCAGGTTGGATTATTGCAAATTATTTCACAATTACAGCTACTTTAAAACTCAGCAGTGAGAACATTTACAGAAATGAAAAAGAGGGGGGGAAAATGCAATGATACCTGATAATAAAGCTCTTTTGGACTCAGTCAATATTATTTGTTGAAGCTGTTTCTGTTGTGCAAACCTTCCAGGAGATTCAAGTTTTATTACCGCTCCCTGAAGAGTGTTCCCATTTTTAAAAGTAAACTGGAGACATGCTTTTCATTCCTACATTATTTTGTGGATTGTAAATAAACTGACTTTATTATAATTCAACTTTTAAATTATTTTTCAGCTTTTATTTTGAATTTGAAAATAATTTGAATTGAAATCATTTCTTATTTGTATGAACCTTTTATGTTTGGTGTACTTTTTTGTCTTTAAGCATTTCTCTTTATTTTGTTACATTCCGATATTGTAATTCCTTTATTTAATAACTGAAGTCTTCATATCCAATTTTACTAATGTGTCTTTCACTAATAGAATTGTTTTCTAGCAAATGTTTTGTTCCTTGCACTAACATATGTGGATACAGGCTGTATGTTTTAAACCAGCTTCTTTAGCAATGACTTTTCGTTGCTTATTTTGTTGACGGTGTCGATGACTGTCTGTTGGAAAAGAGTCAACTCAGCAATCTTTTCCATTATCATAGAGATCCTAACATTGTGTTTTTGTATTGGGAAGTCTTTAAACAATGAGCGTATCTTAAGACATCTTATGTAATAACAAAATGTTTTGACTAACTGAATTTTGTTAGCTGAGAGCTAGTGATCAAGATAAACATAAATAAGTAAAAGTCAAGTCAATACTTGAAACATAAGTTTGTGTAAAAAAATTGAATATTCATTTCTTGAATTAAATTAACTGTAAATGTTATTCTACTTTATTCATTTTTAAAAATGTAATTCCTCATCTCTGTATCCTTGTAGCTGTCCTGCATAATATTGACACTTATTTATACTTTACAATTCATGCATCTAGAATAATTTAGCAAATTAATATTTTTTACCTATTTTATCTGGATGTCTGGATGTTTACAATATGAGTGAAAGCTCTTATATTTCCAAGATGTCATCCAGTCATAGACAGAGTTGGCCTACATTGTGGCACCACTGCTGCCAGTCAACTCAGCGATCACCATGAAGCTGTGGCATCAATGAGGTCATCTCCCCCTTTTTCCTTCACAGGGGTCAAACTGCCACAGTTTGTGCTACAGATTAAATACAATGATTTAACCCTGCTGCATGAATTAGATTAGAAAATTACTTTAAACAACAACCAGTTCTGCTCAGGAGTATAGAGTGTTTATCGGGCTGAGTAGACTGGAGCAGCAATCATCATCCCTGCTTCACAGTCTGGCCTGCAGACATGGAGGGAGACTGAGGGAGCGATGAGGGGGGTGGAGGGGGTAGGAGGAGGAGGAAGAGCAGAGCTGGCTGCAAAAAGTGGGACAGAGCTAGCGCTAGTAGATTGAGGCATAACGCTGCCGTGAAAGCATCAAGTCTGTCCTGATGTGCAAGTTCTGCCCGTCGTGATTTTCCTTCGGCACAATGACCTCCCATCACATGCTGTGAATAGCACACATTCCTGAATCACACCGCACAAAGCCTGGAGCAGTTGGAGCGCACACGCGCGCTCACACACGGGGAACACAAGAACGAAAGCAAAACACCGAGCATCCATTTTTGTATGACAGAACCAAAACAGAATGCGGATCTGATTTATTTATTTTAGGAGCACCGACTTGCATGCTCTGACGTTGAGGATGAGGATAGGGGGCAGAACTCTGAACCGCTGTGAGCGCTCACATTGTATTATGTCATGCATTAAATGAAGGCCCCCAGAACAGCAAAACGCATCGTTCCGGTCTAGTTGTGTTGCACAAGAAGAACAAAATGTGACTTGATAGCTAAAGGATACGACTACAAATACAGAGGGAGAGAAAAGACGGGGACCACCGTCCTACTATGGCTGTACATCGCCTACGCCCATTCAAAATGTTTTACAACCCAGATCCTGACATCACCCCCCCATCCCACCCTTTCCTCCCCACAATGTGTGATCCGGCAGGATTTAGTCCGTGCGTTTCCAATGATTTCACTGCGCAGACCAGAGCGTGGGTTTCCGTTCCTGCTGCACCAGCCATGTGTGTTAGCGAATGTGGCGATTTAAATATGGTTGATTGGTCAGCTCAATGCTGCCGGTAATTCTGACTCATATTTAACACCTAACTGACCCGAGATGTGAGAGCGAGTTCACCCATAAATGCTTTATAATGCTCTCAGAATAATCGATGTGTTTCTCATCTCACTGACCAAACAGTAACTTAGACAGGTGGGCGCAACCGTGGCCCCAATGTGGGCAGAACAAAGAAAGAAGGGGGGAAAAAAGGGTCAGTGTCTCGTTGGCTCGTTTGTAATCTTAATCGGATTTAAATGTCTCGTAACCCTGAGACACACCGGGTGTAACCCGCAGTCGGTGTGCAAGTGACCGTCATGTCGTGATCCGGCTCCACGCCGTAAACGTTAAAACGAACGGCGAGGATTGGAGGCGATAGGTGCCGCCGGTGCGTCACGTCCAGCCGAGCGGCTCCCCTCCATCAGACAATAACACCGGGAAATACCGAGAAGACTCACCTCGTGGTCTGAGGAGGACACAGACAGACGGTCCGGGGTGTGTGTGGAGGGGGGCTTAATCCCCCTCCCGAGAAGATCGGTGATCCGGAGAATTTCAAAAGGGGGGTGAGAGGATGGTGGTTGATTGCGAGAAATCCACGGCGTCCAGCCGGAGCAGAGGATGATTCTGGTGGTGGCTATACGCTGGATGCTGTCATCGCGCTGGGACTGCTCTCTCGGCTTTAATCCGCGGCCCTGAGCTCAGAAATAACCCACCCCCTCCCTCTGCCAGCGTCTCTCCTCCCTGCCTCCATCCCTGTCTGTCCGGAGGACCCGCGCCCCTCCTTCACTAAAAATAAAACCCAAAAGATAACGATAAAATTCATGCTGTTGAGAGAACCTGATACCTTTTAAACTGTAATGCTTATTTATGCAATATCATTCCCTCATATCTCCGCCTTTGCTTTAGCAAACAGTCTTTTAAATATAGTGAATAAATATTCACGAATAAGCTAAGTTCATTGATATTGAATAAATATAAGCGCTTCGTTTAATTTAATTAGCTCCCCTTTTCATTAATTAGCTCCCCTTAGCATAAATGTGTAATTGATAAATAAATAATGCCCTATTATTTATCAGTTATATCTACTACAAAATTAACTAAAGACGATTTGCTTTTACTGTGCTGAACCAGATATTTGCATATAATATAAAAACCGCACAGACTTTTTATTTTCTCTATGTCAGTCTAAATCTCTCATGTTTCAGATCAGTTAAATTATTTCTATTTGATAAGTATTTTTTTCTCTTTTATGTTTTTTTTTATTATTAGTAGTATTATTATTATTTCTTTCAAGTCTTTCTGACCATAATTTCCAAATGCCTGGAGATTAATTCGTTGCAGTCATACTACTCAAGCAGACACTCTCTGTGGCCCAGAGATGAAAGTATTTTTGTGCAAAACAAAACTAAAAGCCTGAACACAGTTTCAGTTGTTTGTCTTGTATTTGGCAGTTTTGAACACAAAACTGTTTATATTATTACTTCTTTCAGTTTTCACATGCGCTCATAATGACACAGAGACATATAAGACTATAACTGAGAGCAACATGGCTCTGTGGCAGAGCAGTCGTCAATGTTGTTGTCCTCGGTTGGATTCCCAGCCTCAAGTCATTTTTAGCAAGGCTTTCTATTCTCTCTCTGCCTTTCCTCCTCTCCAGCTTCTGATGAATAAAGGCCATTGTTGTCATAAAAGCCTTTAAAAAGGCTGTCATTGAGGTGTTTGGTAATAATGATTACCATAATATTATAGGAAATGGGGAAAACCTTCAAGGCTGCGGGCATGTTCCCATCTTTGAAGTACAGAGGTGACTGCAACACGGTATGTTGATTTGCAGGAGGTACTAGAGTTCATTTTCAAATGTATGGCATTGTGTAGAAAAGAACATTATGTGGATTTATTGAAGCAACATCACAAGACATCAGCCTGGAAGTTAAAGCTTGTGAACAAGTGGGACTTGCACATATAAGCAAAGACCTCAAAATAAGTTGCAAGTATAGTTTACGGACAACAAGATCAATGTTTGGGAGTGGTCATCACAAAGCCAGAGATCTCAGTTCTAAAGGCCATTTGTTCAAAGACTTAAAAAAAAATGTTGTGTGAGCAAAATATTCTACAAACCTAAATGTAATATTTCCATTAGGAAAGAGATTTATCGCCTATCCACACACAAAAACGAACCCAATAAAAACACCAGTAGCTGTGTAATATAATGAACAAACAAAAATAATAAAAAAAAGAACAAAACACAGCATCCCAATTTTGATCACCAGAAATCCGCAATATGTTGTTGAATTGTATTAGTATACTTTGGGCATTTTTGGAAAAAAAGAAAAAAACAAGAAAAAAAAAACAACTGCTAGGAACAGGCTAAAACTAAATATAGAACATAAAAAAGTAAATGTGTAGGAGACACTGACAGTAACAGGTGAATTGAATAATACATTTAGAAAATAAGATGAAGTCAATGTCAGCAATAATACAAAATTTACCAGTTCCTCACATTGGCCTATTTTTTCCATCTCCATGTAACAATTTAACTTCATTACACACAATAATACAGTAAAGAATTTACCCAAACATATTTCTAATATCTGCTATTTTTCAATTAAACATATGAGCAAAATCATATCTTGATTTTACTTATAACAAAAAGACAAACAAACAAAAAAGTTTTCCAAACTAGCCTATGAAAACTACTTGGTTAAGTAGAGAAAAACCAAATAATCAAAAAGACACTATCCAATTCGTGTATGATACTTGTTGAGAAAATAATTATTGATATATTGTGTTCACCGTAGGAGGGCAGTGACGTTCTCAGAAAAAGAAAACGGGAACAAGTTTGTCCCTCCGTGCGCACCGTACCGCTCGGTGCCTTTGTTTCCGGTTGCGCGTTTCCGTTTCACGTGAAGGCAGAAGAAGGTGAAATTTTCAACCAGATAATACATCTGAGGAAAAACCACAACAAAAATGTTTAAACTTGAAGGACTTGGGCCTAAAATGGACCCAGAGGAGATGAAGAAGAAAATGCGGGAAGACGTCATCTCGTCCTTACGAAATTTCCTAATTTACGTCGCTCTGCTCAGAGCCAGTGAGTACAGACAAAAATGGCATTGAGAATCCGTCTATTTCAGTTTCTAAGTAATATCTAAGTTAAAAGCAGCTTTGTGCGTTTAATGTTTGCACAGAATTGTATGATTAATATTACTGTTTTTTTTATTTTGAAACAAATACTGAATCAAAATGCACAATATGTTCATTTTAGGCAGAATATTTTACCAGTTTTTGACCTGTATGATATTGAGAAAACATGCGACTGTGATATTATTGTTAAATATTGCGATGAGTTTAAGAATTTAAACCCACATTTTCCAGGCTCTTCCCTTTTTTCCACAAATAATGACGTCCCTACCACACTAGCTACTTACTATTAAGATCTATAGACGCGACACATACAAGAAATTTGAATATTATTGAAAAGTTAATTTATTTCAGTTACTCGGGTCAGTAATTGAAACTGAGTATATACAGATTAATTATTAATGTTTTCAGTCTTTGTTACTGTTATGATTTTCCTTTCACAGCTAATAAAAACATAACATTTAAGATTAAAATATTACATCAAGCCACTGTTAAAAATTATTTAAAAAAAAAACATAGTTTTTAACAGAAATATGGACTCGGTGAAAAGTATGTTTAATATCTGCATAAAAGTTATTTTCAAAAAGGCACTTTAAATCTAAAATAACAAATGAGCCTCATGTGAACTCATATTCTAGTTTCTTGAATATGACCATTTGGTGTGGACATAGAAGAGGAAAAGTCAATTTTGTCATTTATACTATTCATAAACATAATTTGAATGCATTGCACCAGAAATATAAGAAGTTTCCTAATGTTGCTTTCAAGCAGTCCTTTGCGATTGTGAAATTACACACTTAACTTGGAACTTGTTATATTGCGCAGATGTGTTCCCGTCATTCTGATGTTTATAGACTAACACAACTGTAACAAGCTGATCTATTTTTTTCTTGACTAAAATATGTCAAACAAGGCAAATCTATCGTTCTCGTGAGCAAATAAGCACTTTAGTACTTTTTTGGCAGCCAGCTGGTTGGCAGTGTGCAGCATCAAGTGGGAGACGGGTAGCCCCACATTACTCTTTGCTGCACAAAGCTGGTGAAACTCCCTTCATTCTCTTTTTATTTATGTTTTATGCTTCTTGTGTTCACAGCCCCATATGTGTTAAAGAAACTGGACAGCATATGAGTCGAGTTCCCTGGTCCATGCCTCCATCCACAGTTTCCTACATCAGAGACGGTGAGGACCTCCTCATGAAGCCAATCGGCCTGTTCCTGGATCTCTGGAAAACCACCAATATTTTTCCTTGGCCTCATCCGAGACTCTTGCTGTTCTCATGTTCAGTTTGTGAACTTTAGTCTTATTTTCTAATATGTAAACTTTGTCTTTTGGTAATGTGTCTACCAGTGTGATTATTCAACAAATAAACTATGTTGATTTTGTCCATTTAAAAGTGTGAAATTAATTATTGGAGTTATGTAATACTTTATATTGTGCTTCCGTTGTTTTACTGACCAGCCATACATTATCATAATGTCCCTTAGGAAGTTGCATCTGCAGTGCATACTAAATAACATGATTCTAGTATTATTCTGGTTGGATATTAAACACTGTTTCTGTTAGTTCATTTAAATTGGTTTCCTTCCACACACCCAGTTTCCAAGCGTAGATCATGAAGTAAGGATCATTCTACAAGCTCAGTTTAGCGTAATCCATTTCATAAACCTCTTGCGATGTGTGTTTGCGATCAGGTAAAAACGCCCATTTGTGTGAAAGGTTTACCAGTCAGACCCAAACTGTCATCCTCCTAACAAAGAACATTGTTTAGGATGTTCAGAAACTACCAGAGCTCAAGTCTGACAAACTGGAAGATCCCAAAATATTGACGTCCACAGTTAACCAAACCAGCTTATTAGTAGCATGGATCGAGAAGATGCCAAACAAGAAAAAAAGCCACATCCATCAAGATTGAAATTTGCTGATGACAATCAGCAGACAATCAAATATCTGCTGATAAGAAGGTTTTATGGGTCAAATGAATGATTCTTCCACTTCTTTGATAGTTTCATGATTCTACCATTTCTAATAAGGAGAGTAGTCAATCTATTTCTGGTCAAATTTACTCCAGGAGTTTGGAGATTCACAAACCTGCTTGTTTCTTAGAAACTGAAGGGACATATATTCAAATATTACTGTAGATTTTTGCAAATATATTGCGCTTGACCACAAAAGTTTAAGGATTTCACATTTCTAACATTTTTTCTTCTATTTGTCGATTTTTTTATTTTATTTTTTTGCCATTTGAAAATTTTTTTTTTTTTCTATCCGATGTTGTACTTCCCCAAGTTTACCACTTGGGGGCGGTGTTGTTAGCTGAAAGTCAATGAATGACTGCAAAAGGACGGGAGGCTCAGACAATGGATGCGATTATGTGAGCGCTCTGGATTAAGTAGCGATGGTATCACAGAGAGGCATGGGACTTGATATAAATCGAGTGTTTCAGCAGCAGAGAGAAATGTGCTGACACTGACCCTATTCCTATTTTTTGGAGGTAAAGCTCGAGTCTGCACCGCATCCCTTCGTGTTATTGTTGATCCAGGCCCGCCCATACTCCACAGCATCTCCGGGAAAGCCGAGGACAACATTTATCTATTCATTACAAGAGAGGAAGGTGAGTCTGCTGAGGAAGCATCTCAT